TGTTTTTTTGCCAATCATGAATGTTATCTTTTGCAATAAATTATTTTTTGGAGAGAGATGTTTGCACATCGAAACTGTTCTAAAATAAAAATAAGAAAGTCAAGAAAAATAAATCTAGGAAATTTGTTAGTTTTGTTCGGTATTTAGAACAGTATGAATGTTTATACATTTACACATGTAATATTTAATGTACAAATAATTCCACTAGGCTCTACTCTTGTATGAAAATTCTGAGTCGGACTTTATCCAGCACGTACAAAATTCGTTTAATTTGTGTTATGTTCTCTTAATTTAAAAAATTTTGTCCACTTATTTCGTATTTTTCTTCTCAATATTTTACTATTTATGTAAATGCTTTTGATCATTCTATTTATAAAAAGTGTGACGATTTCAAATCAAACAATTATTCAATGAATTTATTTAGATTATTGTTACATTCACTATTTAGTTTTTTTTTCATATCGATTATTTTTAATGCTTAAATAATTTCATCAATCCTTTATATTTTCAAACTTCATATAAGTGTAACCTTTTTTAATATCATGAAAATATAAAGTTTCAAGCACTTTTCATCCTTTTTAGATTTTGTATGAAGTTATGAAATTGTACAAAATCTTTAAATTCCCAGTCATTATGATTATATTATCTAAATTTGGAAATAGGCTAGAAACGAATGACTTATAAAATTTTAAGTAATTTTCAAATAATTAAATTGTAACGATTTCGATCTCAAATCATGCATGATTTTAATAAAAAACATTTTTCATTTAGCTACCTTTTTGAATGTCCACTTCATTTACACACAGTTTTGAATGTGTCCAACGAAGCAAAGACTCTTAAGTTCAGAAATTTTAAAATGTTCCAGTTTTATTCCTAATACTCATTTAGTTTTTACAATTTTAAGATATTTAAGACTTGGAACTGATGATATGATTTTTTTAATGTCTCTGATTCTTTAAGATTGCATTCAAATTTAAGAGCTTGATGAATTTAAGAGGTCAAATTTTTGATGAATCATAAATTCCTTTTTGCACTTCAACCTTCTTACTATTTCCAAGGTCACTTAACTTCTGCTAATTGTGTGTTCCTAATAACTGTTCTTCGCTATCTATGTAATTGAAGTTTTTGCATCAAACTTTTTTTTTTATATTTTCATTAAAATTAGTTTTGATTTATGTTTGCCTTATAATTATTTCCTAGATTTCAGTTGACACAAATGTCCGAGATAGTCAGTTTACTTATTTGAATATAAAACGTTTCAAAATATTCAATTATACAGTAATTTTTTTAAAAAGAATATGTGTTCAAATAAAATTATAAGCATAATTCCTTTTACATGAGCTAAAGCCAAATCAACAATTAATGCATTCTTCTTAAATTTGAATTATTCTTTTTGCTTAGCGCATTTGAATTGAGGTGTGAAAAGCCTTTGGATACACAAACCTCTCTCAGGAAATCTTAAAAAATTAATTAAAAAATATATATAATTGCTTGATATTACAAACCTTTTTCGCTTGTCAATACTAATATCTAAATGTTTTAATATAAGTAATGAAAAAACAAGGAAAATTAATGCTAGGAATCTCTTATAAAAGTTTCTGGCTGCCCTACTAGAGGACCGTTCACTTATTACGTAACGCGAAAAAACGACTCTTGACCTCTCTCCGTAAAAGCGTTAAGTAATAAGTGAACGACCCTAGTCTAATTCAGTCAACGTACTTGACTTAAAAATCGGCTCAGAATACTTTTGAACAGAGATCGAAGCCGATTTTTTCGGCTTAACTCAATTTTTGATTTTTTTGATAGAAAAAAGCCATTTAACACCCATTTTAAGTATTTATATTGAACTTAACATGCTTTACTATGATTCTGTGTGATATTTTTTCAGCATGTAGCTATAGTGAGCTCAGAATTTCAAGTTAAAGAATGTTAAGCCGAAATTTAAGCCGATCGGCTTAAAATCGGCTAACTTGAAATTCTGAGCTTACTATAGCTACATGCTGAAAAAATATCACACAGAATCATAGTAAAGCATGTTAAGTTCAATATAAATACTTAAAATGGGTGTTAAATGGCTTTTTTCTATCAAAATAATCAAAAATTGAGTTAAGCCGAAAAAATCGGCTTCGATCTCTGCTTTTGAACACGCCATCCTTTTTTTCCAGATTTTCAAATTACTTCCAAAACTTTTTTTAATAGATAAATATTCTGATTAAATGTACAGCATTTTTTTGTCATTTTCTACATTTACAGTTGGTATAAAATTTTTGTGACACTATATTTTCAGTTTTTTTTTTTCAATTCAGTATTAAACATTATTTATAGTATTCAATAATAAAAAGGTTTAAAATGTTTGGGGATGCTTAATACCGTGCTTAATATCAATTTTTTAAATATTCCCTAAATATTTTTGATCTTTTGTTCTTCCAATTTGCTTGTTAAGTTTTTAAATTCTTTTTGATACATTACCATATTTTTAATTTTTTTAAAGTTTTTAAATCAATCAATTTTTGTTCTATTAATAGTATTTGTTCTTTGACAATTAGAATAGTTGAATGAGAGTAATGCAATGAAGTATATTCAAAATATCCTAAACATATTACAAGTGAATTAATTGCTTTAAATAAGACCGTTTAAAAATTTGTGATTTTTGTTAATGTAAATAAGGAAGACACTTTATTTAAAAAATTAAGCTTCAAGATTTCTTATTTTCAAATTACAAGTGCTAATTTTCATTTATATGTAAAAAAAGAATTTAATATTTAATATCCTATTTTAATGGAATTAAAATTAAAGCGCAATGAAATGAAGAGTTCTATTTGATCTGAATTTGAAAATTTGTGTCCATGAATCTGCGTTTTATTCGACCAGTCTTTTTTAATACTATTTAATATTTGACACAGTTTTCTTATTCTATCATCCTTTATTTTTGAGAGGATATCATGATTGATTTATAAAGTATATTTGATACTTTTGAGTATGACTGTTAGTTAGATTAGTTTTAACTTCATTTTTAATTGAGATCATTTTTCATTACATTATGCTGGAAAGTATTTTTGTCAATATTTAATAATTATTTTTGTTTCACTTGAAAATTACACAGGAATTCAATTTTATGTAAAAAAAGGTTAAAAAAAGTTCTAATTCATCTTCGAATAATGGAAATGATGATTTTTTTGTTTTGAGCATTCAGTCAAAGTATTATAGAAAAATTAATTTTCGCAGAAATATGAAACTTTACTTAATCATTAAATTAATTTTAAAAAAATCAATATGAATATGAAACGGCAAAGAGCGATGATTTAATTTTTTAATATTACGTTTATTGAAATTGCAATTATTAAAATTTTGTTCAAAATGTAGACTTAGCAAAAAACTTTCCACAAAATTCATTCATCTTTTTAATTTCAAGTTTTTTTCTTTCTTATCTACTAGATTTTATTGTTTTATTATTTAAAATAAAATAAATAATAAAATAATAATAATAAAATTACAACTGACATTGTTTACCGTTGATTAAATCTGTCTTATTTTTGAAGACCGACGACGGTTGATAATTTACAAAATTGCTCTTGAAATTTACATACTGTATTTTTTATTGCATTTAAATTAATTTTTTGATTTGCAACTTGATCTGGTTCAAAAACGCAAATTTAAAAAATGCTTCAATGAACTTTTGAAAGAAATTGGCCGTGGACGAAAGTGGACATTTCACTTTTTCTTATTTTATATTAATAATAATTGTCATCAATATGCATTCAAATGAAGGATTAAAAATTATTCAATTTAATTTTGGGGTTTCTTATCCATTTTGAATTTATGGCCTAAAGTTTTAAAATTATTTTGAACATTTTGTATAAAACAAAATCACAGAATACAAATCACTTTAGCAAACAAGCCGACATCTATAGACTTGTTTAAAAAATCAAAATTAGCAAATGAACTTTGACATATGATAAAGAAACATTAATAATACATTTTCAAAGGTATTAAAATTTTTGTCAGGAGTAAATTGAAAATCGAATATAAACAGAAAAAAACTAGTTGCAATAAGTTAAAAAAAATTTTAAGCAAAGTCCTAAATTAAGAATCAATACAATGTATGAATCATATAAAGCAGTTTTGGTCGTTTAAAATGGAAGTAAAAATTGACAACATTAGGATTTTTAAAATGACTTTCAACTTTTAAAATGAAAAAAATACTAATGATTAAAATATAAACAAAAATACTGTAAAGTTTGAAATACTGAATTTAACTTAAAAAACTAAAATCAAACATTTTCTTTTGTAATAAAAATTTCATTAAATAATTTTGTACGTACTTCTGATACCAAGAGTCAGATTTTATTATACGGTATTGATGATAGTAACAAAAGTAATATATATATATATATATATAGATAGATTTATTGGAAATGTTGCTTATTTAATAATCACAACAATATCCGATAATTCTATTTTGCTTAAATAAACTAGGCGAAAAAATAAAATTATATGTTTTTTAAGACAATTTTTTTTTTTCAATTTTTAGGCTGATAAAAGATGATTCAAATCAAAGTGGAAAATTTTCTTCTATACTTTGTGCAAATCAAATCCGAAATTTGCACAATATTTTCAAAACGTTATGCTAAAATATCGATCCGTTAAATGATACTTAATCGGAAATGCACTTTGTAATCAAATTGTTATTAGAAACTACTATAATATAAAAATTAAATTGATTTTCTTCAATTTTAAACAAAAGTTGAAAACTTCATATTATATTTTTAATTTTTTTTAAAAGCGTTTTAAAAAAGGCAGAAAGCTATTTAAATGATTTTTTTTACCAATTCTTATGTGTCAGCTTTCATAAAATCAACAAATACTTCAATTATTTAGCATATAATATTATTCAATTGCTTTACACCAAAATTTTTTAATTGTAAACCTAGTTTTTCATTAATATTAATTTTGAGGTTTAAAGACAGTTTTGTGAATTTTTTAAATTCACAAAAATAAATTTCTGTTTAACTTTTTTCAATAAAATTGATTGATTGTTATGAAAAGAACAAAGTTTGTATTAAAATTTTAAGAACTAATCTTTGTTGTAAAATTACATCAAAGATAATGTAAAGAAAAAAATAAAACCTTTTCTTGGAGGTAATATAAAAACAATTTCATATTCTTTATATATGACGTTTCATATGCAACGCTAAATGATCACTCCGTGAGAAGCAACGTTCACAATGACGGCACTTGAATGGTTTAGCTCCAGTGTGCTTGCGATAATGTCGGGTAAGTTCGTCACTTCGCGCAAAACGCCATTCGCATCCTTCCCAACTGCACTTATACGGCTTTTCACCTGAGCAAGAGATAAAAATTTGATTAAAAATTTATTGCTGAACATAATAATAAAATATTTGCCACAAAAGAATGGACTGAAAATTTGTTCTCTCGTGTGACGTAATAAATGAAAGGTCTTTTTTAACAAAAATAAATTATTTCATTTGTGTTGATTTACTCGCATTTGATGTACATATGTTAGTTTGGTTGATTACTCAACAAAAAGCTATTCAGTAATGTTTTAATTTAATAAATGAATGTGTAGTTTTTCACCCCGATTGACCCGTTTTTATTTGATGAATGAAAAGTAATTGTAATTTTATTTGATTAATCACCACCATTTATCGCACTCTACTATTTGAGTTAAATTAATTTAAAAATATCTTCGTTGTCTTAATATAATCATTTTTATGAGTCAAAGAAAAAACTTGAGTCATGATATAGTATGAAATGATCAAGAAAAAAAAAGAATGTGTATCATTTGACTTTTTGATCAATTTACAGAATATAAGTTTATGAACAATTAATCCAATTCCTCTATTTAATTAAGAATGATTTTGAAGCCATTTCTTCTTAATTTGTTGGTTAAGTTTTCACTTCTTGTTAACTTTAACAACCTTTTGAATCAAGTTTTGATAATTAATTGAGTCAATAATTATTTAACGATTTAAAATTTTTTTTAAAAAAAAACAATTAATTATAATACACATTTACTTTTCAATAAATGAAATAAAATTGGCTTTAAATATGAAAAACTTAAAAAAATTGTATTTGTTACCTGTATGAGTTCTTTGATGTGCTTTTAAATGAGAACTTTTTGTATAAACTTTTTTGCACCCAAGAAACTGGCATTTGTGAATTCGACGTCTTGAATCAGGACTATGGTCTTGATGTCGTTGTGATTGTTTAAGTGATGTTGTAGATGTCAAAACTATTCACCAAATATAAAAAAAAAAATAATTACAAATGTGTCACTTCTAACCGTTATTTAAACTTTAATTGTGGGCGTGAAGTACGGCCGAGACCCATATCGACACAGTTCAAAAGTTATACCTAATTTATGTCATAATTATGTCAGCTACAAAAACACTTAGTTCGAATTTTGTCACCCTCGGGAACACTATGAACCGGTATAGCTGATTTTGGTCCAAATCTCGGCCATACTTCACACTTATTTGAACCACATTTTCTCGTAAATGTTAAAATATTGTTAAAAAGTAATTAATCCTGAATTATGCTTATGTTCTTTGCTCAAAAAAATTTTAGGATGTTTTATTTGTATTTGTTTAAGCACTAAAATATTTATGCAAAGTTTCAATCCATTTGGATAAACCCTCGAAGAAAAAAGTGACAAAATTGATTTTGATTAGGGTCGCCCCTAGTCCAAAATTGAAAATGTATTTCCTACTTGGTTCTTTGCTCAAAAAATTTTAGGATGTTTTATTTGTATTTGTTTTAAGCACTTGAATATTTATGCAAAGTTTCAATCCATTTGTATAAACCCTCGAAGAAAAAAGTGACAAAATTGATTTTGACTAGGGTCGCCCCTAGTCCAAAATTGAAAATTGATTTTCTATGGTGGACTTTGGTCAAAAAAATTTTTTGGATGTTTTATTTGAATTGACATATTTCTGACATAAATCACATACCAATATTATTTTTTATTATGCACAGCTTAAAAAAAATCGAAATCTAAAATTTCGACTACCCCATCTGAATTTTGTTCATACTCTTCACTGTGGAAACCAAAAAACAAATTCTTTATCTTAAAACACTTGACAAAATAGCGACATAATTCAGGATTAATTACTTTTTAATAATATTTTACAGAGATCGAAGCCGATTTTTTCGGCTTAACTCAATTTTTGGTTTTTTTGATAGAAAAAAGCCATTTGACACCCATTTCAAGTATTTAAATTGAACTTTACATGCTTTACTATGATTCTGTGTAATATTTTGTCAGCATGTAGCTATAGTAAGCTCAGAATTTCAAGTTAAAGAATGTTAAGCCGAAATTTAAGCCGATCGGCTTAAAATCGGCTAACTTGAAATTCTGAGCTTACTATAGCTACATGCTGACAGAATATTACACAGAATCATAGTAAAGCATGTAAAGTTCAATTTAAATACTTGAAGTGGGTGTCAAATGGCTTTTTTCTATCAAAAAAATCAAAAATTGAGTTAAGCCGAAAAAATCGGCTTCGATCTCTGATATTTTAACATTTACGAGAAAATGTGGTTCAAATAAGTGTAAAGTATGGCCGAGATTTGGACCAAAATCATCTATACTGGTTCATAGTGTTCCCGAGGGTGACAAAATTCAAACTAAGTTTTTTTGTAGTATATATATATATATATACCTGAATGAGATGAATTAGTTCCCTGTCCATTGTTTTTTCCAGATTGTGCGATTGTCGAATGAAAATTAGGATTCATTTGGAGAATTTTTGTTACACCAAATGAATTTTTTGTGTTTGATAGTCGTACAATAGTATTACGTGTCAATGTTGTGCCATTTGATGACACTCTAAAAATACCCTGATTTTCTATTAATGCTAGTTGTTCAGGTTCCATTTCTCTTAAAGTTAAATTTTTGCTATTACTACATTTACTACTAGATTCAGGTGATGATGGTGGTGTTAAAGTTTCATGATTTTGTCCCGATTGTAAAGCGGCAGGCATCAACATGGTTGAAAGAGTTGTTCCTGAAAGTTGATTTGTTACTAACGGTGATGATGGCGGTGATCTTGTGATTACTAATTCGATTGTTGAATTTGAAATTTTATTTGAGCCTTTGATAACTTGAATAGTTTTGTTAGAACTAAAACTATTATTGTTGTTGATATTACTTTTACTATTATTTTTTTGAAAAATTTTGGTAATATTATTATGATTATTATAATTATTGTGAATGTTGCTACAGCTCATCAATTTTTCATCATTGCTATCCGAGTCGTCATAATCATCTTCAATTCTTTCGTTTTTAACCAATAACGAACAACTAATTGAGCTATCCCACGATTTCCCTGAGCATGTTGAAGATGAAGAGCTCATTGACAGTGTATCTAAATTTCTATCGTTTAAAAGCTCTTCGAAACATAATTGATCGACTTTTACACTCCATGAACCAGTTAATGGTCTTCCAGACGTTAAAAATTCCCAAGGCGTTAAGTCTCCTGATTCAGATTTGAAGTTTTTCTTTTTTGGTTCATCTTTTAAGTAGCGATCCATTTCATAGCATGTCTAAAATTAGGAAAAATGCGAATATAAGTTTTTTTTAAATATTTCTTAATTATTTCTTCTTCGTTGATGAATTTTTTAAACCTATTTACAGTTGTTGTTCCTTTTTTTTAATTACAGTAATTGATTTAATTTTAATTTTTGCGGATAGGTATACAAAAAGATTATTAAAGATTATTATCTGCGGGAGTATGGTTAAATCAAGTTTCTTCCAAACGTTGTTAATTGGTGATACATTCTTGAGTGATACATTTGTGTTTGATTTAACGGCGTGAAAGGTTCCATAGTGCTCTAAGAAAACATTGCACATAATTTGTCATTCAATTCTTCAATTCTCCAATTATTAATTTTTTTTTATTTATTACTGAATCTTATCAGAAGTATTGAACAGCATTTCAAACAAAGCATCATTACAAAAATGTAAAAATAGAAAACATGATTCGGGCAAATATTCATCATTTAATTATTATCTTTAAATTTATTTGGATTTATTTTATTTTGGATTTAGGATTGATTATTAAAAAAGAAAACTGTTCTGTTTTTTAAAATTTTCTACCATTTTTTATGGAGTGTGCTCCTAAACATATCACTGAAAGCAAAAATTTTGCGTAACAATTTAAAACTATGTAAAAAAACAAAGAGAAATGGAAACGGAAAATGTTGGGTAAATAAGAGAAAATACTCAGAATGATGAGAGTAAATTTATGTAAATCAAGAGAGGTAGTATCCTCAGAATATTGATGAGAGTGGACGTGAAAGCATGTTTATAGTGTCTATGGTCTTCAATATAAGCAGTACATTATATATAAAATCTAAGATTCAACGCTTTAGTTGATATTACGTCCGGGGTGAATTCGAAAATGTAAAACATTAGTTTTTATGCTTTTACAGAGCATCAAACCATAATTTCAATAAACGTTGTGTAACTCTTTTGCACTTGTTTGATTGCCTTGCTAATTTTAATGAATATTTAGTTAATACTATTTAATATTGTTTTCTGAGGATGAGGAATAAAAAAAAGTTTTAACCAATATCATAAAGTGAAAAAAAGGATTGAAAAATTTGAATTTTATTTGAGATAAGAAAGACGTTACATTTTCTTACCTTTTTAAGGGTTAAACACAAACATTCGCTACAAAAATGCATCATTGAAAAATCTTGCTTTTACATACCTAAAATGACATAAGAAAAAAAAAATATTAAGTACACAGTTAAGTTATTAAGTTTATTAGATTTAGCTTCTATTCTTATCGTAAGCTGAGGAAGCTGGTTTGGCTTCAAACTTAATAAGATCTTCAGTCTTTTAACACGTGCATACACACATCAAAAAAAAAATCTTTTTGTAAGTCCATCATTTAACGCATGTCATTTTTTGTTGTGGAGGTTGGTTTGCAAAATTAGAAACCAATAGATCTAACTTGTAATGAGAAGTTCTTGCAAAAAAAAACAATAATGAAGGAATGTAAGTATTATATTGGAGAAGCAGAATCAGCTAGAAAACCATTTTGTAATACAATTCTCTCAGAAAAACGTGGTTAAAGTAAGTAAATAAATGCGGGAATTAAAAATAATTATTTAAATTAAATGGTTTCGATTGTTTACAAAAACCATTTAACACAGAGATATGCATATTTTTATACTATTGTATTGGAATTTTAATCATCAGCAGTTCATGAACTTATGTTTATGCTTTTACACACTCTAATCTATGAATATTTTCAATGTTTGTTTTCACAATTAAAAATTTATTTCAAAGTATTATTCTTAGACTAATCGAAAATTGTATCGTACTAAAATCCAAACAGTCTTGTTTGATTGTATAATTTGTAAAAATAAATTTTTCGTGTTTTTCATAACGAATTTGTTTGAATTCTAAAATCCAGTTTCCTCAATGTAACCTTTTTGTTAATCAGTTAAATGAAGATTGTAAAATTGCATTTTTAATAATAACAAAACATGGAACGATTAAGTATACTTATTGATTGAATCTTTAAAATGGAAAATAAAATTGCAATTTTATTCACAATAACATGAATGAGATTTTAAATATAAATTTTGTAAGCATGAAGTCATAGAATGACTCATAGCACGATTATTTAGTAAACGAATTGTTATAAGAATTCGTAAACAACCTGCTTATATATTTTTATATATGCATACATACAAGAAAAACCATTCGTGCATACATTTGTATAAGATCTTTGCCACTGTATTTGTAAGTTAAATTACGAACAGTAATATTTTTTTTAATTATGCAATGAACATTTTAAATTATATTTTTAAAATGCTTTTTATCAACAAAAACCTTTTTGTAAATAGTTTATTAATTTGAATATCAGATACGCTATAACTTTAAATCTGCCTAAAACTAAATTCTCCAGTTTAAGCAGTTATATCGGTGATATCATTCAAAAATACTCGCTAGAGAATTTACTATGACCAGAAAAAAATGCAATGTTGTTGTAACTTAGTCTGTATTGCGTTGCGATAAAGTATTAAGAGAACCTCATGTATAGATAGTTTATTAGCATTTCGTAATGTTGAAAAAATAAATATTTCATTATGAAGCGATGACAGTAACATTACTCTGATAAGAAAATAATTAAAAATGAGTGAATTCTGCAAACTTCAGAAGCAATAAAAACAAATCTTGTTATTATGACTTCATAATAAAACTACAAAAATTTAAAAAAGTGAAGCCATTAAAGTGAGTATGTTCTTAAAGTAAGTGGTCTTAAATTTGTTGCAATGAAAGCATTTAAAAATTATTATCTTGAACATAAGAGAAAAATTGTATGCACAAATTAGTCGAACAACGCTTAATATGAAACTGACATCGATGTACATATATGGAAAAGCCGGTAAAAAACAAGCCTTTAACGGTCGAATTGCGAAAGTGAGAATAAGATAGACGAAATAAAAAAAACTACCAATACTATCCAATGCCAATCTCACGGAGTATGAGCAAAAAAAACCATCACAAACCATGTGAAATGATATAACCCATGCGGCAGACCGGCAATGAGATCAGACGAAACTGGTTTTTTTCGCGCGCTAAATTGCATGACCATAAAAGGTAAATAAAGACAGTGAATACAAAATTTTTTTGTTTTTTTATTCCAGACATATAGAAACATTAATTATATTCACACCGTTTTCACGTGTGAATCTATTGGTTTTGTTCAGATTGAAAAATAAGTTTTTAGAATTTTGTGAGGATATGGAGCAAGATAGCTTAAAATGTTCAGAGATGAAAAGTTTGTGCCTTGAATTTTACATCTTTTGCAAAAAACAGATTTCAAATTGGTTGTGGCATTGCTGAGAAAATCGCAAAATATGCTTTCTGTAAGCAAGCAAACAAGCAAGTTAATCAGCAAGAAATCACAATAACGAGACATCGTAGAGACTTCTAGTTTTTTTACATTTGATCCGTGCTGCTCTATAGAAGAGCTGTATTGTCTTTGGGCAAGGTAGGAACAGCCGTTGCTTCAGAAAAAGCAAAAAACTTTTCTTTCTCACGAATTTTTCAAATTAAAAGTTCACTGTGATTTTTTTTTAAATTAAACTTTGGATGAAAAAAATTTTTTTGAGCAAAGAACCAAGAAGGAAATACATTTTCAATTTTGGATTAAGGGCTAGGGTTTGTGGAAAACAGCTGTTTTTGAAAAAACAGTCTGTTTTCGGTTTTTGAATTTTAAAAACAGCTGTTTTCCTGTTTTTCTAGAATTCAAAATAAACTGAGTTATCCTAAGTGTTTCTCTAAGATAATGAATTTTTTTGGTGGTTATAAGCAGTTAAGCATACATTTTAGAGCTAAGCATTATTATTTCTTATTTTTTTTATGTTAATTAACTCTAAAAAATATAATGAAATATGAAAATGCAAAAAAAAAATCCAAAAAAATTTATACCTTTAAGTAACATTGCATTGTTGCATTGTAAAAATTCCATAAGCTCTAATATTTTATTTGAAAAATTCAAAAAATCTTTCTGAATAAAAAAATATCTTGTAAAATTGTTGGTTATATTTTTAAACTTTTGTAAATGCTACTAAAAGGTTCAACAAATTTAAAATTTCGATTGCAAAATTAATAATGATTAACCATAAATTTGATAATGATTTCAAACCTATTAAACATCCAAAAAACATTAAAATAGTAAATACATTTCAATTTGAAATGCTAGGAAAATATATTAAGTTCTTCAAAAAATTAAGAAATTTTTTTTCTGTAAATTTTATGTAAAAATGAAAAACAGAAAACAGATCTGTTTTTGAGACCTGTTTTCTGTTAACAGATTTTTGTCGAAAAACAGCTGTTTTTCTGTTTTCTGTTAACAGATTCCCCAAACCCTACTAGGGGCGACCCTAGTCAAAATCAATTTTGTCACTTTTTTCTTCGAGGGTTTATCCAAATGGATTGAAACTTTGCATAAATATTCTAGTGCTTAAAACAAATACAAATAAAACATCCAAAAATTTTTTTGAGCAAAGAACCAAGTAGGAAATACATTTTCAATTATGAACTTGGGACAGGTCTAGTCAAAATCTAGTTTTTCACTTTTTTCTTCGAAGGTTTATCCAATTACAGTAAAACTTTGTGTGAGTATACTAATATTTATACAAAACAGTTTTAAATATCTAAAGCAAGAAATGTATTCTATATGTCGTCAGACCCAAATTTTATAAATTTTGTTCTACATATAAAAACAACGTGACTTAAATTTTTTCCAAAAAAATGATTTTTATTAATTCAGAAATGTGTGACCTGAGGATTAGAATGCTCATACAAAGTTTTACTGTATTTGGATTTATTCTCGAAGGGAAAAAAGTGAAAAACGAGATTTTGACTAGACCTGTCCCAAGTTCATAGTTAAAACTGTATTCTACTTGGTTCTTTGCTCAAAAAAATTCTTCACTGTGGAAACCAAAAAACAAATTCTTTATCTTAAAACACTTGACAAAATAGCGACATAATTCAGGATTAATTACTTTTTAACAATATTTTAACATTTACGAGAAAATGTGGTTCAAATAAGTGTGAAGTATGACGAGATTTGGACCAAAATCAGCTATACTGGTTCATAGACTTTTGATGGTCCGGTGTGAATATATCCGCATTGGGTTTCTACCCGATACACTAGTTTTTGATAACTTTTTCTCACAACACAGTAATATTTGTACAATCGTCTTTGAGAGAAATATTAGTCTATCTGACTTTGCCACAAAAATTGCTATGCTACGTTAAAATGTATACAAGTGAAATATTCAAATTCCTAAAATAACCGTTTGAAAACTTACAAATGACAAGTCTAAAAGCAAACGAAGATTATCTGTGTGTCAATAAACATATAGAAAACTATTATGCAACAAAGAATACAAAAAAAAAACTTGATACAAACAAAAGTCAGCTTCGGAATTTTTTTAATAAAATATCAAATATATTAATATGCTTACTGAGTTCTACACATATTTTAATTTTTCAAAGAAACAAATTTATCGAAAACTAAGCTGTTTAATCAAACGAAAAAAAAAAAAATATTAGACTTGAAAGCCTTCGTTTTATTCTTAAAATGGTCAACTGATATGGATAGTCCCCATTGAGTATAGTGGGAAAATTTTAATTTGTCAATTATTAAGACTGATATGAGACTTATGAAAAATTATGGAAACTGTTTGCATACATTTTCTGAAAACAAATCTCCATGCGATCAAATAAAATTTGATAAAAATAGCTTTTCTTAAATGAAATCTTATTAAAATAAATTTAAGATTATTTGGATTTATTAATAAATTAAAATAATAATAAAAAATTTTGCTTATTGAATTTAAAATTTTAGCATTTTAAGTAGATTTTGAAAATATACAGATGTATGAAGTTTCTTTATTTTTTTAGTGTTATGGACAGATATAATTTTGATTTAAAAATTGAAAGAATATCACAAAGTATATCAAATACTACCAAAATGTTATATTAAAAGTAGGGTTTGCTTTATTAGTTTGAAAATAATCTCTCCCTCAAATTTTAATGCTTAATGTGAAATTATCATGAAACTTGCTGGTCGTACATAAATAGTTGAAAACAAAAGTAAATAAAATTCAACATAAACTTTGTATGTGTTAAAATGTAAGTGCATTCAAATGTAATTTCAAAACACTCTAGAAACACATTGCATATAAGTAAGCTATGAGTCATCATTTCATATTAAATATGTTGGTTTCAAATTAATTCACTAGACTTAAAATTTGTACAAATTGTTTGAATTTTAAGAAATCTGCATTTTGGTAAGAATTAACAAAATTAAGAACGGTAGAAACAGTTAATTACAATTGAATTTAGGCTAAAATATTAAAAATAATAGTATGGTCAGGGATTTAAATTTTCAAATAAATGAAGAGACATTCATTTCTTTGAGCCAGACTAGAAACAATTAAATTTCAATTAGTTATATATGTTTTAAAAAAATTTTAAATTATTTTCGTAATTATCATATTTAGGTTTTTTTCATTATTGAATGGTATTCGACTAATTATTGAATTTATTAAATAATTTTTTCAAAAATTAATACTGTTAATAAAAGTCTAATTTATGATGTAAAAAGTTAGGGTTAATTTTGGAGTATAACAAATATTTTGAAGGTTTACACCATTGTTCTTTAAAAAATGAATAACTGAATTCACATCAAAATTTTACACATAAAAATTTTGATCTCATTTGATAAAAAAACATTATTGAAAAAAGAGTAAAGAAGAAAATTTAAGCGAAAATAATATTTTACTCAAAATCATTTGATGTTGATTAAAAGTCTTGACCACGAAAACAAATGCATATTGATGCACACAGATAAAACACAATATTTTTAAACTCACACATTGAAAGAAGATAACACAATAAAAAAAGCATGATTTAATGTCTAAAACCTCTCTTTGATGTCATTGTAACCTATAGATGATTACATTAAAGCAAGTGTACTTCCGCAGTAAAAAGAGTAAAATGAGTGATATGGAATGTTGACTACCGAATAATTATTTATTAAATATTAATAATGGACTCATTCATTACTTTGTATTTGACATAATTATACGAAAAATGATGAAATTAAGATCAGAATTGTTGTGAAACTATCTTAACAACATAATTAAGCGTTTTAAAAGTTATAATTTTTTTTAATTACAAATATTTAATTTACCTGTTGCCATTGATCCTCAATGGATGATTGAGATGAAAAATATCCAAAATCCTGGATATCTTGTAGTTCTCGAAAAATACTTCCACTGGGTAAAATATCCATGATTGCTTGAAATATTTTGTCAAATATTTAAATGTCACACTAGAATACTACACTACTAAATTCTATTCCTTGTATTGGCAATGCTTTATCTCATTACTATGATTTTTTAACCAATTTTTCGGCTTTTTAATTCGAACAGTTTTTTTTCGTATTTGGAAAAATTTTGATAATTTTCACATTATAACATTTTTTTTTCACAACTTCAGCATTTGCACATAATTTTTAGAATTTGAGGATTTTTTTATTTATTCACCATTTTCCTTTCATAAAGATTGGATAGCAATATTTTTCTTGTATTACGATATTTCATCAATTAAAACATATTTTGTTGAATAAATTCCAAGTTTAATTTTTTTTTTGAATTTGTATTGATTCAAAACATTTTGTTATTAACTAGTTAAATTTTTCACAATCATCATAAAAAAATTATCGATGTTCTTCTATACATCTTGAATTAGATTTTTACACTTCTTTTTTTTATCTTATCGTTTGGTTTTTATCAACAAATTTTTCTGCAAAAAAGCATGAAAAAAGAAAAATACACATGATGAATTTTATGATCAAAAAATCGATAGCGTTTAAATATCATTCGTTTATTTATAGAAATATAATGTTCTGTTTTCACTTTTGATATATATTTCAAGTGGAGAGTTTGCAAGAAAAAAATTCAATCATATATTGCTTGATTGATTTATTGATACGATTATTAATTTAAACTTAATATAAAGTGCACGTTTATGCATGTGTCTGTTAAAAAATTTGGTTTTAAACCTCACCAACTTTATTTATTATTTTTTGTTAAGCAAGAAGAAGAGTTCATTTCCCTTTTTAACATTATTTAAATTTTCTACTTTCTTATTCTTTTCTTCTCTTTCCAGCTCACAATTTAATATATCTTTTTTTCAGCGTCTATCTTTTCTATTTTTTTAACGATGCTAGAAAATTCATTTCTTAAGCAAATCATAGAAAAAAATAATAATGATACCAAAAATAAAAACAATTATTTTATCAGTGTTATCAAAATTTCTTTAAAAAAATATCAATAATATCTCTAATTTCTATTTCTCTCACTTATGGTTCAGCCGACTCCTACTTTAAAACTGAATGAGAGTCAAACTTAAATAAAAAATGAATAAGAAATATTTGACTCTTCTCACTTTGTATGTGCACGCGAACGTATATGTATGTTTACATTTTTTACACATAAAATATTCTTATGTATTATCCACATTCATATTAAATGAGAAATGATTCTTCTACACACATTTATAACAGTAAATAAGTATTTGATACTAGCTTATGGGAATAAAATAAAATGTTAAAAGAATGCATATAACATTATGTCATTTCATATGGTATGATGTCATCATATTTTAATTGATGAATAAGTTTTTAGAAAAAAGCGTTTCAACTTTAATAAAGTATTCAAAGTATAATTTTCAATCTTAACCGGCATTAAAAGATTGGGAAAATTGTAAAATGTTTTTGGTCATTTAAATAAAAAAGTATAAAATTTGTTTGAAATAGTTTGTTTTACTAGCAAGACATGAATTTGTGAAGGGGAGAATGCGCACACAAACATTTACATAATGGAAGTAGTAACGAATAAGTTTAAGGCATGTTCTATCGCATGGACTGGAAATATGCGGAAAAGGCTTTTTTATTTTCAATTTTGTATCTTTACTCATTACTACATTAAAATCAGTTGAATAAAGTGTTAATTATTTTAAGAAAAATAATTTATTTGAAAAATTTCTATTAAGTATGCCCTATTCTGCATGACTTTTTTATATTATTTGAGATAGTTGACTCTGTTGTTTTTATTCGCAAAATTATAATGTAAATTTGTTTTATAATCACTTTTTTGAACCCATTACTCTTTTTTTAATAAACACACAGCTTTTAATATCAAGATAAGTTTTTTTAAACAAATATTAACGAATATAATACAATTTATGAACTCCATATTGCATTATACTCTGTTATGCCATTTTTATTGAATTTTTTTCTTGTGCACATTTCAACTTGAAATTTTTTAAAATGTTTTAATTTATTTTGCTTGTTTGCATATGAAAAATGACTAATATTGTTTGTAATTATCAACACTAGAATTAGTTTAATTATCACTAAAATGTTTGATAAATATAATCCATTTTTTTCTCATGTTTTAGAACTTTTTATTATACTACAAATATATATATAAACATACCATTTGAAAAATAATCATAAAATTTTGCAAAACATCACTTTCAATAATTTTATAATATGCTGCATATTCATTATAATACATTTTTCTTTTCGGTAAAAAATATATATTTATTTATTAATCGTGTAAGAAAAAAAAAACTAAAATGGCTTTTCACGACAGTTCTCTGTACTTCGTAAAAATTTGTTTAGATTATCAAACAAAACTTGTATTTTTCACTAGTAGCTTCAATATAAAACCGAAATGTAAAGTTCTAAAGATTTGGTGCTTTTTGAAGTACTACGTCCTAATGAAAAGTTTTTATTTAATGATGAAGTTTTCCTCACTCCATCATTAAAAGTTTGAGGGTAAGAAAATTCAGGCAACGTCTTTCACTTATAACAGTTACTCAGTTTCTGAAATTATTTCCTATGAAATTACTTTTTCACATCGCTTTCAATTTTCCATTGCTATAGAATTCTACAATGATTCATCTGCATTTTTCGAATCTTTTCCAGATTGACATGCGCAATGTTAAGATTTAAATTTGGAAATATTCCATTGTTTATGCATTATTTTAATAAAGTCTCATGTTTTAAGTTGTCTAGTTTCATGTTGAACACAGTCATTCCAACAGTATCGTGATATGAAAACGATAAAGAAAAATGATTTAAAATATTTTCTACTTGACGTTTTCTACATTATATTCTTTAACACCAAATCTAAGAACAGGATGGAATATGAAATTTAAAAATTAAATGGAAAAAAAAAATTCAAAATAATAAATTTCAAAATAATAAATTTCAATAATACCTCCAAAATTTTAATTTGTTTATAAATTTTCAAATATTTATTATCAAAATAATATACAAATAGTATTTGCATTTTTTATTCTATAAAATTGGAACAGGAAATACTTTCATTATAAAGTTAAAGTCTTTTTTTATAAATGCTCAAGTACAAAGGAATTGATGTTAAAATATTGAATTTATATATATTGTGCTTTACAAATTTTTTATGAGTTTTAGATCAAGTATTTTTTTATTCACTATATTTTTTTGAAATAGATCAAAAGCAAAGAAAAAATTGTTTTGAAAATGATATTTTTTCTAAGCCATAGGTTCACAAAGATCAAAATATCAAAGTTTTGACACAAAAGTGATCATTTTGATTCTTGGAATGGTTCGAGATTCAAAACTTAATTAACTATATCATATAATAAACTTCCACTAATAAGAAGAAAATTATGTTCGTAATTCTTGAAAAACATGATATTTTTGTAGGATTCGCTTTTTAAAATGTATATTGTAAAATAGTTGTAAAAATATGTATAATTTAATCAACAAAGGCTTTTACAGATGCAATTTATAGTTTTGCAATTTTTTTACTTTAAGCTAAACAAAATAAAATTCTATTTAAAACTCTTCTTCAAGAGTTCTTGAGTAACGATTTGAATCGATTCTTCGTCTTTGACTTCTCCTAACAGCGTCAGCTCTTCGATATGGTTCTGATTTCAACCCCAATAGTATGTCCTCAAGTGCGCCATTATACACATCTTCTTGATGAAGGAGTTTCTTCTCTCTTATAGCCGTTGCATGCTTTAATTCAGTTATTACCGCTTCCTGTGATATTTCGATATAAATTAAAGATTATCGTTTGTTAAAGTTATGTATTTAAACGAGCCAGAGATCGAAGCCAATTTTTTTTTGGCTAAAATCAATTTTATTTGTAATATTTTAACAGCTTTAGGCAAAGGACGCTCAGAATTTCCTATCCCTACGATGCTCACAAAATATTACACAGAATCATGGTAAAGCATGGAAAGCTCAGTTCTAATGCTTGTAATGGGTGTTAAATGGCTTTTTTCTATCAAAATCAATAAACATAAATTTTCTTACTTGTTGCTTTTTTGGATTAGTTCTATTTCTTAAAACTACTTCTTCTTCGCGTTCTTTTTTTAATGCTGCTAATGCAACAGCTTGTTCTAGTCGTTTTCGTTGCTCATTTTCCTGATCTGTTGTCTAAATTTTTTAAAAACTTTTTTATTTAAAGACAAGTTTCAAATAATAGTTTTCAACTGTACCTTAAATGCTTTGACAAATCGTACAAGGAGTGAGAAGAATGCATTAGCGTCAGGATTTCTAGAAGATTCACCAAAATACTCTAAGCATTCTTTGAAACTCTGCTGCGCCACTTTTGTATCAGCACTAATCTTTTTTAACTTGTCCTCAGAGTTTGATAAGAAGTCTTTCAGTACTAAACACTGGGTATTTTTTCCTGCAGCTGTAACTTCTTTTCTAACGATCTCCATTCCCTTTTCTAGTTCATTTACGTCGGCTATTACATTTTCTAAGGAAACTTGAGAAGCTTTGTCTATGCAGAAAAATTCTGAATCAAAACTCATAAGATCTGGGAATTTTTGGCGAATAGTTGCGACAATATAATGAAGTAATGAAATTTTTTTATCTGTTGATTTAGTATCCAATAATGTGTCAAGACTCTGCAATCTAAAACCATATGCGGGACCTCGTTTGCTTGAATTTAAATAGTTTCCAAATGCCAGAACTATCTCTAATAGCAATCTAAACTTTTTAGACGATTTTACTGAGGATGATGCGGATATAATTGAGTAAATTTGCTGCAAAAATTAATTAGTTCATGTATTCTTAGTATTAATAATCCTTTTTTAAAAAAATATTTTCTTACCGGACTTATTAGGTGAATAGAATCGAAAAAATTGCCCATATAATTCATAATTGATAATTTGGAAGAGATTCTTTCAACTTTGGTTAGATTTAACATAAATTTGTCTTCTTCTGTTAACAAGTTAGTATTTTTCTTTTCAATTACATAGTCTTTATAGAGTTTTGCTTCTTGCTCAGTTGGAACCATTTTTTGAAGAAGTTCAACATTTTCGAGAGATAAACTTTTTAGATCTAAGTTATTTATCGCTTTGATTACAGCTTCAGGACCCATCTCAAGTTTTCTTCTGGAAATCGCTAAAAAAATAAAATTTGTTGTAAATTATACTTCAAATATCATATTAATCATGTTGAGCAATTACCAATATTACGCAAACGAGTATGCTCTAGTAATGAAATGTTTTCGGGCTTCTTAAATCGTTTACTTGAAAAGTCTCTTGACAATCCATCTATTTCTGAACCACCTAAAGCTCCTAATCCCAAACCAATTTTAAACTTTTCTTCAAAATCACAAAAATCAATAGCTTTAAAAATTTTCTCGTCATCCAATTCGTTAAAGATCGTTCCTCGAACTTGATTTGGTTTAAGTGCAACCCAATTCAACGTTGGCAATTTATATTTGGTTTGAACTTTTCTTTTAATTGTCATGGCACCGTTTGATATTGGCATCATTCCCGGCATAGGAGGAGGAGGTATTCCACTAGATGGTTTTGGTGGAGCTATTTAAAACCATAAAAAAATAATTAAATTAAGCAATGTTCAATATTTGTTTGAAATAAAAAACAAACCTGGAGGAATGGATGATGATTTAATTTCTGGAATCATTGGGGGAGGAGGTGGAGGAGGACTAACGATTTCTTTTGCATTTTCAGAATTACTACCGGTTTTTACATTTGACGGTGTTGACATAATATCTGAGAATTTTCCTCCTTTTGCTAACATATTTGAAACATCCTGCCAAGAAGTTCCTTTTGGTAGTGTCTTTGAAAAGTTTTCCAATTCTAGAAGCATCGATTCTCGTGATTTTGACTCTTGCTCATGTTTTTGAACAATCAATTTTAATTTGTTTACTTCTTCATCAAAAACCCTTTGTTTTTGTGTTAACTCGTCACGTTCTTGTCTTGTTCTTTGTAATTCTGTTTGTAAGTTTGCGATATTAAATGCAGCTTCTCTTTCAATTTCTGCAATTCTATCTGAGGCTCGTCCTAAATCGTCTTCTAACTCATTTATTCTTTCTAATGCTGCTGTTTTAGTTATACTATCTTCCATTAATGCTGATACATCAAACACATTGTCAAGATAGGCTGATATTTGAACTTGTAACTCTTCCGATTCCGTTAGTCTTAATTTTTCTAAATATTCATCAAGGCCTAGCGCGGTAAACTCATATTGAAGATGAACCCGATAATTGATATCCTCAACTGAATGAACTACAATATTCATGAATTGCATGCATGCCACCATAAAGTCAACTTTGAATGCTTCGTAATTAATAAACATATCAAGTAGAGTTTCAAATCTTTTTTTCTCCCCAGTAACTTTTTTAAAGTTATCAAAGGCACTTAATATTATTTCATGTCCACCTTTCACTAAACATATTGCTGCTAATAATTCAAGAACTAATGCTTTTGTACGCAATGATTTGTGCATAAGACTTAACGCAATACAATTGATTGCTTCGTGATGTTGTATTACCATGTTAAAGCCATATTTATTGTTCATTATTGCTCGAAGGCACATTATACAAACATGAATATCATCTGTTGTGGATCCCATATTCAGCTTCTGTATATGCTTAGATCTTCGTTTTGTACCAGGGCTATTGAGAAGTTCAATAATTCCTGGTCGGTTAAAGCTTCCCATTGCAGAAATCATTGTTAATCTATTATGTGATGAACTGTGATTATTTGTATTTATATTTCCAGTACTTGCTCGAAGTTTTTCGAATCCTTCTTGCGAATCGTCTAATGACTCTTCAATTTGATATTCGTAACGCATCATTTGTAATCGAAAACTTAAATAATCAACCAATGCATCTAGTCCTTGATTTTCATCATCGAGAAATTCCTTTACCCATTCAATATGATTTGTACGTAATGAAATCTCTAAATCTCTTAAAACTTGTGTGGATGTAGATTCACCAACTATTTTACGTTTCTTAAAAAATAAAGCAAACTATTAGTGACATCTAATATGTACATTTTTTTATATTCACACCGTTTTTACGTGTGTTATTGGTTTTTTTGTGAGAAAACAAAGCAAAATTGGTTATAAATGGTCCAAGAAGAAAAGTTTTTCTATCTTTATATCTTCTTTAATAACTTCAAACTTATGCTGAGCGAAGCTCAGTTGACTTATCAAGCTTCATACCTTCATAGTTATGATGGGCAAATCTTGGTCTATCCATAAGACTTTTGATAGTACGGTGTGAATATAATCCGCATTGGGTTTCTACCCGATACACTAGTTCATGTTCTGTATCTTTATTTTTTCTTCACTAAGCTTACAGTCATTACTCATAATTTGCTCATGATGTTAAAATGATTTTCTATTTATGATTCATGTTTTTAAAACAAACCATGACTAATCTTATCATCAAATAAAAAATGTAAAATTGGAAAAAAAAATTAATTTGATGGGAATTCGAAAAGTAAGCAATGAAATTTAATACAAAATTTGTGTGTTTAGTGTGCAAGTGTATTTTGAGTTCATTCCAGTTGATTTAAATTTTTAACCAATATTAATACTTACTCTGTGACTACGAGAAGCTTTGGGGTCAAGGTAAGTTCGAAGCTTGGTCAAATAGTGAGACGGAGGATCTTTTGCATGAACCATTTCTTGATCACATATAATGTCCCATTTTTTTTCGTTGTCATAATTTTTGAGCAGCTTTGCTTTATCAGGAGGAAGATCCATAGATTGCTAAAAATAATAATTTTTATATATTATGTCTTAGAAGTCTTACAGGAAAGTCAATATTAAAATTTTAAGTATTATTTTTCTGATATCATCTTTCTTTGATTCATGTAAATCTATAATGTGAATTTATAAACTTTTTGTCACAGTCGAATGCGTTCTCGCAATTTGAAAACTTGATAATATTTTTAAAAGTTCCGTTCCAAAAATTTAATTCAAATAAATTTAAAACAAAAGGTTCACAACTCTTACCAGAACTTTTGCAAATCGACGGTCTAGTTCTGATGAGTTAGGCATCGGTTGTAAATTTCTGCTTCGTATACTCGGCTGCCGTATATGATTTGCAATTAGAGTTGATGAAGGTGAACTCATGATATCACTATTGCAGTCCAGATAAATGTTATTTCGGTGTTCATTAGAATCGTTGTTATTTAAATTATCATTTCCTTTTGATAATATTGACCCCATGATTTTTTTTAATTTTGAATAGTTATGAATTTTCCTCGAGTTTTATACACAAAAAGGAATATGATTTATTTTGGACACTAGTTATTGGCATACTCTAAGTATCAGTAAAAAGTGATAGTATGGCTTATTAAGCACAGGAGAATCAGATTTCGTTTCAAAATGAGCGTTTCACATTTCATATTCAATATTTCAGAAAACTTTAAAATATTCAATTCAATTATTCGAAGCTGAAATTACACTTTTTATGTTCTTTAGTTGATCCAGAGGGCACATTCAAAATATTTTATAAAGACTTTAAGTGTATGTTTCTATAAATGAGATGGATTGAGTTTACGTCACACAATACATACGCATTTTTCATCGTTACAATAAATCACAATATGGCAAACAATTCTCTTTTATGATTTTATATTTAAAGATTTCTAATAATGTACATTGTAAAATTATAACTTTTATATTTGAGGTCATGAGTCATCGAAAATTAATTCCTTCACGTGTTTTTAACTTTCCCTGTAAATAGCGAATCATATTTTGACAATTGTATGATTTAAATGTTTAGAAATTAATGGCAAAACATTTAACAACTTTTGTTTTTGAAGCACACCCGTATTTTTAATAATACAATTTAAACAACGACAGATGAGTGACTAAGGCATGAATCAAAACTGATTTCTGCTAAGTTATTTACTCTCTTTCTCTTTATTTCTCGTGAGACAAACTTTTGTTATTGTAGTTTTTACTCATTTTTTTTTTCAAACGCATTTTATAGACATGATGCAAATTTAAAATTTATTCATTTAATATATTTTATATTTAACATGCCAATTGACATTTTTAAGAAACATAAACATAAAGTAAAAATGAGAAGAAATATTTAAAAAAAACTTCATTGTTATTAAGACATTCATGAAAAATAAGTTTAACAAAGAATGTAAAGGAAGTACCTTTTAAAGGTCATTAATTTATTATTCAGCTAGTGACATCATACTTAATTAAGAAAATGAGAAAAAAATCTTGAGAGCGAAAAGAGAAGTAGAAGCACTGTTGAATGCATTTAAATAAGAATTTCTTGTTTTGTTTTTTTTTTTTTTTTTTTTTTTTTTTTTTGTTGAAAGATTGAATATTACATGTAGCCACATAAATGCATTTTATTGTATATTTTGGCCACCCACACTAAAGAAATTTTTAGTATGTTATGCAGATGTTATTGTATTTATATTGGTGACAAAAATTAATCGAAATTCTTTCACTTTTTTATGCATAACTTTTTAAGTTCACGCTTATTATAAGCAAATGAAGATAAGATTGAAATTATATTCAAAATAACATCGTTTTTTAAAAGAAATAGAGTTTTAAAAATGAATTAATTCTTGATTTTTAAAAGTTTTACTTCAATAATCAAATTTTTGCTACTCTTGCAGTAAGACAACTAATAATTTTAATCACTCAATCGTTCGTTTTCTAACAATTAATTTAATTTTTAATAATATGAAACACAATTAGGATGATTTTGATATTACAAAAGTTGTTAGCTTTTAAATTTTTGAATTAACATTTACAGACCTTCAACTTTTAAAAACAAACTCTCAATAAATGTAATGCATCCATTTGTATAATCAAACCGTATCATTAAAACTATATATTTTGTGTGATTTTAAAAACTATAATTTAAGATAATTTAAAAATATGATTTGATCTATCAAATATAATGTAAATAATTTTATTTATATTATTTTTATATGTATTGATTCTTATTTCTGCGGTATGAACGGTGTTAATATAAATGAGCAGTCTAATGTGTAAAATCTGAATGTAAAAGTTCAAAATTTAAATAGCCAGTAAGCAGAATCGGGTCTAAATTTAAAATTAAAAAAATGGATTTTGTTTATATTAAAGTTTATATTGATTTTTTTTTAAATTCATTTTTGGTTTTATACTTATAGAAAATAATTTTATGTTTATTTCTGTCAAACATATTTTTGTTATTTATTACAAATAATATTTAAAATCTGGTATGAATTTTAAATTTATGTTTTTAATATATGAGGCCGTTGGTTTATAAAAAAAGTGCTTTCAAAAGTTTATCAGGAATAATGAAATTGATAAAGTTCTGGTGGTGCTTTTAGATTTTTTTTTAAAAAGGAGTGATCATCAAACTCTTTTTCTGCAACACATTGCTTATTCAACTTTATTTTTTACGAAACGATTAACATCAAATAAACAGAAAATACTATGACTACTTAAAATTAAAACTTAATCATATATAGTGTCTGAATCCTTTTGGTAACTCATATTTATATTACGAAACGTTTCGAAAAGTTGAATTTCCCTTGATTCGTCATCGGTTTGGAGTAGGTTATTTTTCTTATCTGTGTATTTTACTGAAGGTGCTTCTGGTGAATTCTTTTTAAAAGGAAGTTCAGACATTTCTGAAACTTGAAAAATATAAGGCCACGTCTGTGAATGAAATAAAATAAAATAAATATAAAATTTTGAGCGGACATTTGAAACATAACACTTTTGCTTCTCATTTCAATATTTATTATTTTTAATCCTCAATTTTCATCTTACCATTTCTCACATATAAACATAATATTTAAAAAAACGGAAATTTAATGCGGCACTTAAGAATTTTTTAAGAGGCACTAAATAAGAACAATTGGTTCAATGTAAACAATTTGTAATAACAATTGGAAAAAAAATATTTCTCGTTTAAAACTAATTGTTTACATGTAAGATACAGCCGCGATTTCAAACATTATAAATACTTTAATATTTTCCTGAGCGGGGTTTTTTTTGATTTTAAAAACGATTTTGAATGGTTCCATATTTTTTTGTCAGTTTCTCAAAGTAAGTCTTTGACATTAAGGAGAAGAAAAATCAAAAGTCATAAATGAAACAATCCACCTGGTAAAAAATGTTTTCACAAAAAGACATGAAAATCATCAATTGAGAAACGAGATGAGCCAAATTATCATTAAATTGAATGTTAGATGATATTAATTAATTATATGAATAAAAATTACAAAAAAAAAATGGGAAACTGATATGGGGGAAGTAATTACCATTTTCTGAGGATGAGGAATTTTATTTGGCATATCTTTTACTGGTTGTCCATCTAGTGTAGCAGACAAATAAGCTATATAGTTTCTGGCCAAACGAAGTGTATCTAGTTTAGATAATTTTGTATCGTGAGGTACCCAAGGAATTATTGTTTTCAGCCTATAAAAAGCAGATGATAGGACCCTCATTCTTGCTCGTTCTCTAGCGTTTGCAGTATTTCTTAGAACCGGCATTCCTTGGTCATCTTTGTATGAAAATTCACAATCAATATTTTTATAACTATTTTGCAGTAATTTAGAATTTACCATTAACACAAATTTGATCTTCATTAAAATTTTCTAAATTATCATATTCTGTTGAACTTGATTTTTTTCTGTTTGATATATTTTTTAATTTCATATTATTTTGTATGATAATTATTTCACAAATTGTTAACTAGTATAGAATCTTTGAAAGACAAATACTTACTAATTTTCTATCCAAATCTGAAAATATTCTCACATAATTTTTAAAGATGAAATATTTTTCTTTAATAAACAATTAGTAAGAGGGCGTAAACATTTATCATTGGTTGTTATTTTTAAATTCAATATGCGATGCAAATGTCATTGAAAACTTATTGTTGGAAATAATTTCTTTTTAATAATTAGTTCTAAGCATTTTAATAATGAGAAGAAGTTCCTCTTTATTGACTTTATTGATGATTACTAGTTTTAAGCGAACACAAAAAAGACATTATTAAGTTAAATTTATAAGTTAATTGAATAAGAAAAATACAAAAATTGATCTGAGGACATGCATTGACACATTTTATGAGCCTTTTCGTGGTATTTCAGTTTTTAAAAATAATCATTTTAAACTGATAAATTGAAATTAGTTTTTAATACCATGGCTTTTTAATACCACTTTTTAATTGACCACAAAATATTTTCTCCTGAAAATATGTGATTCTTTACGAGAAGAACTAGGTTAACACATTTTTATGTTAACAAAATATGAGAGAGATTTAATGCATAGAAACGACATATATTTCCTACTTAAGTGTAAAAAAGGTAATATGATACATTTTTTGAAATATTTTTGAGTGAAAAGTAAGTTTAGGAAAAAATCACATTGAGTTAAGAAAACATGATTTATGAGAAATGCTCGAAATTAAAGTATGCAGATTTATAAAACTGAGCCAATAATTATGTGTTAATTTGTAGTTAATAAATGTTTCCTTTTCTAATCATATATTTTAGAAATACTAAACTTTTAAACATCTAGTGTCTTTCTTCCATATATTAAGGCTTTTGTAATTCAATCTGCAAATAAATGAGAACACAGGGAAACAAAAATATCAATGCTAGAATTATTTATTAATTTTTTTTTATTAATTATATATTGAGAATACCAAGTTTACAAAGGTTTACTTACATTTCTTCTTATTAGATCTATTATTCAAGTGATTTTATTGCTGAATTTCTTGATTTTTAAATTTTTTGAATTAATTTTCAATGTTCAGTCCAAAAGTAATTTCATCGAAAAGTAAAAAAAAAGTCGCATTCAATTGATTTAGTGTCGAACTGTTTATTATTTTTTTTATCTGCAGAGTGCTTTTTAAAACTTTTGTTTTGTAAAACTTAAAGAACTTAAAAGGTACTTTTGATATTTTAAATAAATTCATTAGAATCGTGATGGTTTCATCCAGTTTTATTAATTTAAAAATTGTATAAATAATACGTAGATACATAATATATTTAAAACGAATACACACAAGTGAATAAGGAAAATAATTACTATTATTTTTAAGTTGTTCTCTTTTAACAGTCACTTATAAGTTGTCATGATTTCAGTTTATTAACTATAGTTTTAAAATTAAGTTTGTTAAAAATTAAGGTGATAAATTCTTAAAACTATCAAGATCATCAAAATCAAGTCATTAAAGAACAATTGCGACATGATGAAAAAAGGTTTTAATTCAATGTTGTGATGGGAGCTTTATTCAATTGAGTATATGAAAATCTATTCTAACTTTAACCATACTTGTAGAAAAATTATTGACATGTGTAAACCTAAATGTATTATTGTTTCTGCAATATTGCTAGGTCTAAGAAATTATAGTTAATTACTACTCGGAATTATATGTATGATTTTATTAAATGAACCTTATATTATATTTAAAAATATATATTTTTTTATGCTTAAATGCTTGGTGTTGAACGTTTTCTTTTTGGATTATTATTCGACATATACTCATCATTTTGATCATCCATATCAATAAAATCTTGGAACGACATTGATCCTAATTGATTGGAAGTCAGTTTAATATTTAAAGATTTTGAATATTTGGGCAAAAGTTTTCGTAATTGTGATTCGAAGAAACTTTCTAAATCCTTTGCGTACGATTGTATTTTAGGATCTTCTTCCTGAAAAAAAAAATTCTCTTTTATGTTAATGTCAAGTCTTAAGCATTTTCTAATTTAATTTACCTCGTAAAATTGTTTTGCATTTTGGAATAGTAGTTTACAATCTTCAACAAATCCTTGGACATTTTGGTAATGATTTAAGTTTGCGGGGTCCAATTTTTCTCTTATACAGCTTAACGATAAAGGCCTTTTTAAAAATATAAACATTAAAAACTGGAAATACTGATATGAAAACAAGAAGACTTACTTTCTTATCATATCAAAGTAAAGCTTGTTTGACTCTCTTGATGGAAGAGTCCTAAAATGGGAGCTTAACTCATATTGACACAACATTTCAAGAAGAACCCGTTGAATAACTTTTAGTTCATAGCTTGATAATCCAGAACCACGTTTCTCTCCGATTTGATCTATGAATAAATGTAAATTTTAGACTGAGTAAGCACAAAAGTTTTGAGTAAACCATACCAGGTAATGCATCTGCAAAGTTGAAGCATAAAAGACATTGCCAAGTTTCAGACTCATCGGGAAGAGAACTGATTACTGGAATATGACACGCTTGATGAAATACTTTTGGACATTTATCGCAACACATTAGTTCACCACCGTCTTTAATCGTGAAGGAACAAATAAAATTATTTTAACGATCAATCAAATATTATGAAGTTAAATTTACCCATGCAAACAGCACACCAGTCTTCATTAGGATCATCTTTGGGTTGATTGTTTTTATCATTTAGAACAATTGAATTTGGATCCAAAGCATCTGTGGAACTGTGAACTTGGGGTGAAGTAGCCTTACTTCTTCCACCTTCTGGTACTACTTGAACACCATTAGAATCCAATTTTGCAATTGTAGCCAACAAATCAACAACGCTTTCGTTACAAACCATATCAATTGAATCAGATATATCTTTTTGTGCATCTTTTTGACTTGGACTTGGTGTTTTAGGATTGCTGGATGTTACATTTGGTAATGGAATTGGAAAATTTGTTGAACCGTTTGCTGTAGAAGAATTTTGATTTCTCAATGTATCTGGAGATCTTAGTGGAATTTTAAATGAGTCATTGATAAATGTAGTTGCTGGTGGTGACATAGACATGCCCATTAAATTCAAAACATTATTTCCATGGTTCGATGCTTGTTTTTGTTGAGGTGTGTGCCATTTTGCACCTCCACTGCCACTAGCTGCATTACTATTGCCACCCGATTGCATTTGAGCAATTTGGGCAGCTTGATGTGCTCGATTTTGATTGAAATTAGCTTGACTTGGTGTCATATTTGCTTGTTGTGTAGGAGGAAAATTCATGTTTGACGATTTCATATTAGAACCCATCATATTAGGAGAACTTCTTATTTGACTAATCATTTGTTGTCGTGAGCTTTGCATTTGCTGATACCTTTGCATTGCTGCAGCATTACTCATAGCATTTGCATTCGAATTCATTTGGTTATTTTGATTATTGCCCCCAAATGGTCCATTCTGATTACTCATGTAATTGTTTCTCATTTGTTGCATGGCTGCAACCTGCTGAGATGTCATATTTCTTTCCATACTCATATTGGGACCAAAATTACCAATATGATTATATTGTTGAGGGTTTTGATGGCTTAGCAATCCACGAAGATTGTCTTTAAAAATAAAACAAAACAAATAATTTATATAGGGGCTGTTCACTTATTACGTAACGCGAAAAAATGACTTCTTAGACCCCCCCCCCCCCCCTCGTAACAAAATTTGTATGAAAAAACAATTTCCTTGTTTGAACCGTAACAAAATCTTAGACCCCCCCCCCCCCCCTCCCCCTAAAAACATTACGTAATAAGTGAATGGCCCCATACACAATGTAAGAGTTTGAAAAAAAAAATATTTAGGTTTCTAAATTACAGAGATCGAAGCCGATTTTTTCGGCTTAACTCAATTTTTGATTTTTTTGATAGAAAAAAGCCATTTAACACCCATTTTAAGTATTTAAATTGAACTTTACATGCTTTACTATGATTCTGTGTAATATTTTGTCAGCATGTAGCCAGTGTTGCAAATGTAGATGTCTATACTAGATGAAGAATGTAGATTCTTCAATAGTTTTTGTCTAGCTAAGAAACTTTCTTCATAAAGATCGATTCTTCATGTAGAAAGAAAAAAACCATCTACATGTAGATTGTGTCTACATGTAGAATCTGTCTACATGTAGATTGTGTCTACATGTAGAATCTGTCTACATGTAGATTCGATGTAGATGTCTATAATTCTACATTTTTTCCAGGTCTACATCAGAGAAGAATGTAGAATCGTAGACATCTACATTAAATCTACATGTAGACAGATTCTACATGTAGATGGTTTTTTTCTTTCTACATGAAGAATCGATCTTTATGAAGAAAGTTTCTGTCTCAGAATTTATCTGATCCAGACAAATGGCCAGAATGCAACACTGCATGTAGCTATAGTAAGCTCAGAATTTCAATTTAGCCGATTTTAAGCTGATCGGCCGAAAAAATCGGCTTCGATCTCTGCTAAATTATTAAAAAATTGGTAGAATGTTTTACCATTTCCCATACTATTACTTGGATGTGTTGATGAACTAACATGCGCTTGTGGAGGTCCCATTGATGGATGTGGCATCGGAAAACGATTTGTTTCATTTGAATATGATCTCATAGAAGGTGGAAATTGTGGCGAGGGTCCGACAGATGGAGGAAAAATATTCGGACTGTTATTATATCCTGTATTTGGTGCTGTCGGTGGGATTAAAGGTCTTAAGGGAGGTGTTACATTAGGAGATTGTCTTTGTCGAGATGATTGTTGAGCTCTTGCATCTGCAACCTGTGGTCCAGCCATTTGACTCATTTGAGTTGGTACATTATTAGGTGGTGTAATTGAACTGGCCGGTGTTTGAACTGGAGGGTATACTTTTCCATCAACTAAGATTGTCCCAATTCTTGATATAACTTTAATAATAGAAAATGAAAAAAAAAATGCCATAAGAGTAATAATTTAATCATGTTAATTAATTTAAATAAACTATTACCATTTTCAAGTTCTGGGACATTTGATAAAAATAATTGAATACGAACAGGTATTTCAGGATTTGGTATATCAGCTCGTTGACATTTAACCTTGTTTAAATGTCGAGAAAGTGTTTTTTTACTGTACAAAACTGCAGTGTCGCTACCATTTTCTAATGCATTTTGTACAAAATTGATACAATGATCTGTATGTCCACTTAATAGTTGTAATGCTTCTTTCTTTTCATTCAACACTTGCAATTTATGATCACAAACTTGACCCAGCCTAAAAAGCAATTGTTTGCCTCTACTACTAACTGCTGTCGCTAATTTGGCAACTAAATCGTGAATATCCTTTGCCAGTTCTGTCTTTTTTTCATTTATTAAAGTCTGTCGATCATCAATTACTTTCATAGCACTCGAGAGTAATACTTTCTTGTAAGAAATTTCCTGTAGTAAACTTTGTAAATGATCTCGGGTTTGTTTTGCCATATCATTTGCAAATTTAAAAAGATGATCACGATGCTCAGTCAACATACAGTCACGGCATGTTAATTTATCACATGTTTCACAATAACAGCTAAGAGTTTCCTAAAATATGTAGGAATATAAATTTAATTCGAAATTTTATGAATGCACTATATAAAATAATTTACTTGGGGATGAGTTTGGCATTTAATCTCTTTTGTGCTATCCTTGTCATGCTTACTTTCAGCTGCATCTTTAGATTTTATTGTATGATCTTTGGTAATTTTGAGCCTGCGATGGGCTTCCACACATGTATCGCATATCAATTCGGAACAATCAATACAGTAACGCGTTGCAGGATTGTCATCATTTGCACATTTTGCAATCTCTTCTGCTGAGCCTGATGATCCACTACCGCTTGCATTATCATCACTTTGTAATGCATTTAATAGCTCAACCAAAAAATGATTGTTAATTATAAAATCAGAACGGTTCTCCATTTTACATAAAGGACATGATATGATTGAAACGTTGCAACTTTGATTGTTTGATAAAGCCTTTTGTTGCTCCTGTGCGAAACATGGTTCGCAGCAACTATGAAAGCATTCAAGCAATTTTGGGCGATCATTAACAGTCAAATCTTGTTGGCACCAACAGCATTTTCTCGAAATTTTCAAATCCTTATCTAACGCATGTTGCTCATCATTCTGCACAAAGATTTTTTAATCATTAGTATCTCATATATAATTCGTTAGCTTCTTATAAAAGATATTTAAATTAAAGCGTTCGAGTAAAAACGTAATTAAATTATTTTTTTAAATCTTCATTTTAATTTATTTTATTTTGCTAAATTTAAATCCTAACATGATTTGAAAGGAATGGAAATAATGGGCAAGACTTCAGGCCTTGGAACGCACCCGTTTTATATATTTCTATACGATGCGTTAAATTACATGAACATCTGCTATTTATGCTTCAAGTATGAAAAGCTTCGTTGTGATCACATAGTGAAAAATATAATTCCAAAAAAGAAGAAAAAGAAATACCACACATTCACTGGATTTTGAATGAGTGTACATGGAAGTAATTAAACCTCATTAATTGCTATCGGCAGGAAGGAAGTTAAGATCGGTATATATGTTTCTTTTCAAATATTTAATTCTGATATTTTTTCTTCATTCTGTGACTCTTACTTTATTTTCGGCACTGTCGGGCGCAGCTTGTGAATTATTATTATTGTTGTTCTTATTACATATTCCAGTACTCGGGGATTGTATATCTTGATTATTATGTGTAGCAGATTCCATTTCTTGCTTTATATTGTTTATAGGAACATATTCCATTTCTGAATCCATTGCTTATGTTTTAAGTTTTATATTTTCTTCGTTAATATATAGAAAATGATTCGTAAAAGAAATTATAATTGAGAACTTAAAATGCGATAAAATGGCGATTTTTCGTCAATTTTTTTAAACTCTTTTCAAATTTTTTATCGCGTTATCTTCAACACTATTTTATTAAATATAACTTTATATTCAAAAATATCATTTTATTTTTTATCTAACAGTATTTATCTTGTCTAAAGTAATATTTTTATTATGCACTCCACAAATTGAAAAAGAAACTTTGTCAAACATTTGTAAGGTTTTAGTTGTTTTTATACCAATACAGTGAACTAAGATACTTCAGCACTCTCATTTTCGAAAAAGAAGCATTTGCATACACTTTTACTTCGAAAGCAAATTCTTAATTTTACGTAAGAACGTAAGCTTATCTGTAATCTACAGCTGTAAGTTGGTCATAAATAGTATAGGGTGTAGTTATGCTCATTGTCATACTTTTATATTTTTTTTTTATTTTTTGGGAGGTTATCAAAACAGATTTTAAAAGTTTATTGATAAATAATTAGCTTTCCTATCACAAAAGTTACATTTTAAAATACTTTAAAAATATATGATTCAAGTTCAACAATTTAAACTTATTTTCAAAAAAGAAAAATTTTATCACAAGTACAATTATATAAATTACATAAATGAAAATTAACATTGAAAATCAGGAAAATGTGTACGTTAAGAAAAACATTTTTATAATAATTCACGAAAAAAATTTGGATAAGTTTTGCTAAATTATATTTAGAATTTAAAATTTGCAACTTATTGAATATGAATAAATTAGTATGATTCTATAAATATTTAAAAATAATTAAAGTATTAAGTAACACAGGAGATTATATTAAAAGCAAATGGGAAACTTTTTTCAGATCTTACTTAATACATAATAAGCGTTTGGAAATAAATTAAATTTGAGCTCATTTGTACATTATTTTTCAAGAATCAAGAGTCAATAGATTGATTTTAAAAATAACGTTTTATAAATACCTAATATTTTTAAACTAGCTATTTAGGTATTTTGAAAATTATGCTCCTAATTTTGTTGCGTTTCAGGTAATTTATATATTATTTTAAACCTAAAGGAAATAAAATCCTATTTTTTCATATAGGTTTTTTTTGTTGATTGTCTTTCGAATGGTTATTGCTGTTTCCATCCTCATCAATTTCTACTTGAAGTGGTCCTATAACGTATGCTAAAACTCCGCTCATTATTATAAATATTCCACCCAGATAAAATGAATAATCCCATCTAAGATGGATTAAATAATTTTTTTGGGTCCTTATTCAAAATCGTTCAATTAATTTAAAGTCAGAATTATAATTACCTATTTGTGACATCAAAAATCCATCCAGATAAAGGAGGTCCAATTAAGGATCCAATTCCCTGTACTAATAAAATTAATCCATATGCCAGCGTAAAATCATCCATATCAACCAATCTACTTGTAATCATTGGAGTAAACGAAAAAGAACTTCCAAATGTTACACCAAATATTGCACAAAGGGTCATAAGAAAGGTATAACTCCAAGTAGCAAGTGGTATAGCAAACATAGAAATACCGCATACTGTATTAAGAAATTATTTATGAATTTTTGGTTAAGATAAAGCACTTTAAATACTTACGAAACAGACAAAAGGCATATGTTTTTGTTACATTACACCATTGTTGGTCACCAATCCATCCTAATGAAACCATTCCAAATGTATTAAAGATTCCAATGACTGATATCAAATAAGCGCTAGCCTCTTCAGTATAGTTAAATTTAAGAAGATACTCGGTGATATAAAAGTATGGTATGATATACCTAGTGATGCATAAATATAAGTAAATTAGTTAAAAATAATTTATTTGAGCTTCATTTTGCTATTAAAATTGTCTTACCAAATAAAAAGAAAAAGAGTAGATAACGACATCATCCCAAATTTATATTGAAGAAAAAGTGAAAAATCAAAGACTGATTTTATTATATCTACAAAATCGTCATACCATACATCCTAAACAGAGGCACATGAGTCATTTAACTTTTGCATTGAATTTTACTAATTAAACTTACATTATGTTCCCTTGCAATTGTTGTCATCGAATTTCTATAAATGTTTGGGCATGACGAAGCCTTCAATCGATACCGATGTGTGCTTAACATTGCTCCACGATAATGAATAGAGTTACGGTGAACTCTCATGTTTTTTAAATAATTACTATATCTTAAAGAATTTCTTCTGTCATTTCCTGTATTGCTAATCGAGAATCTTTTTTTATGCGAGTGCTTTGCTTTTTTTATTGACAATCGATAGTCTTTTTCATGAAGATTATATTCTAATTTTCCATGCTGCACGAGTGAGCAAAAATTTAACGGAAACGCATGGCTTTCATAAATTATATTTAGAGAATTATTCCGAATTTTATTTTTGATGCCATCAAAATAGAACTGATTATTAAAAATGTTATCGTTTAGCGAGAAACGGCTGCCATGTAAACCACTTCGATGATTTGTATAAATTTCATTGTCAAAATCAATAAGCGTGTGCTCATCTTGATTCATTTCTAAGTCTATCGAGCTAAGATCAAGATCAGTTGAGGAAGCTTTTTCTGATGTGTTTAATGTTTCTATACTAGCGATTCTACATTGAATTGTATCCGTTTCTCTTTTTAAATCAACTTCACACTCAGTCGTTTCACATTTTTTAACAAGTTCATTTTCGGAATTTGTTTCGGGACTAATCAATTGATCAGGCCTTAATGATAGTCTGCTATTTGATCTTAAACCATCAAAATTTACAATATCGTTGTTTGAAATAAATGTTGGAAGCAGCAGTTCACTTTGATATTTTTTTGCATGAACAATATTAGGATCATAAATTTGCTGATTAGCTTCAGTGTTAACGTTTGTAACTAATGTTTCTAAAAGATCTTCTTTTGGCGCACCTATCTCAATTAGTTTTTTAATTTCGTCTAAACACATGCTTGAGTTCGAAAATGTTTGCATACTCTGTGATCGAGCTTCCAACTTATTTTCTTCGACTAGCCACTCTGGATCTATCATGAGGGCACCAAAAACACAGAAGTTTAAAAGTGTACCTGTAAAATAAAAGAAATAAATCAGTTGAATAACACGAACAAAAACACGTGTTCATTTACCACCGAGAATAAGTGTTGCTCCTCTCCATCCATAATAACTGATTAGCCATTGAGTAAAGGGTGCGTAAAGAAAAGTACCAATGCCTGTTCCGCTTGCACCAATCCCTTTAAAAATTAAAGAAGAATAATTTTAAGTTATAAATTTTTATCGTAATTACAAACAACTTGCCTGTTGCAAATGTCCTTTTAGACTCAAACCAAAAAGCAATTGACACCACAGCCGTAACATAAATAACTCCAAGCCCTAGACCAGCAATAATTCCGAAAGTAAGGAACAGCATTTCAACAGAATTCGAAAAGGCAGACAGCACGAATCCAAGACATCCAAAAAGTCCACCAAGCATTGTCATTTTGCGACACCCATATTTGTCAACAAGATTTGACATGATTGGTCCTGAAATCAATGGTATTGACATGAACAATGATCCTATCCATGCGGTTTTGGTAGTTCCTTCTTCGAAATAATCTAGAAGCTCTGAATATAATAATCCAAAAGAAAATGAAATCCCATCTGCTATTAGAGAAACCATTAGTGAAGCGAATACAATGATCCAGCCATATCCTCCTAATGATGTTTAAAAAGATTAATTAAAGATTTAATTAATTTTTGTGTTGAAAAAATATTGGTTTTAAAACGTTGACTTTAGGAACAAATTTCACTTAAAACTATTGATCTTGTTATTAAACTTCATTTAAAAATATTAAATGTGAGTAATGTGTGGAATAGATAAGAAATTAAGCGTGTAAAAAATTATTAATCATTATATTCAATTGTTTATCATTTCTATTTTTGAGATCAAAAGTTTGATTCCATGTATTCTTAAAATAACAAATTAACACTATTAATTTTGTTAAATGGCCGGAAATTCAGTTTTATAAGTTTTGAAAATTTCTCAACAATTTATATAAAATGTAATTTTTGTAACTAGCAGTAATCAAGTACTCTAGCAAAATCTCAATCTGCAGTTGTTATGACCTCGTATGATAAAAAAAGTAGCAATTTGGGAGTACGAAAAAATTCTAACAATTAAATATGAAGTAAAAAAGTGTCTTATGGGAGATTGGTGCATTATAAAAACTCACAAAAATTCCTTATGAATACTAACCATCAGGTATTTTTTTCTTATCCTTAAAAGTAGATATTGATGAAACTGAATCTTCTGACATATCAGACATTTCTGAAGAAATAGTTGTGAGACGTTTTCTTTTTGTAACATCTTCTTGGACATCAAATTTTACTTCAGTAGGATTCAAAAGATGTTCTTTTATCAATGCTAACTGATCTCGGTAATATACATTATGAGAAACTTCACCATTTGTGTCGGGAAATATTTTTCTAGCTTTTCCTATTGAACTATTTGTTATTTGAAGATCTATTACCATTTTTAAACAAATATACTGTGTATAATCAGTATTATATTTGCGTTTTCTCTTAGATAACTATCGTGAATTCTTAATTTTATTGGATTTAATTGCACCCATTTAAAAATTTCTTATTTTGTTTTTGACCTTCACAGAGAATTATTCTTGGATTCCTTCCAATTGATTCATCAATGTGTTGTAAATCATAAATTTTTTTTTATCTCGATGTTCAAAATATGCACTCGATTTTTTTTTAAATATTTATCATTTTTATTTCTTATGTACTAATGATTTTATCTTTTGATAATTAGTTGCACTATTATTTTTTTTAATAAATAGACTAGCTTCTAAACTACTTGAAATAGGAAATTTTCTGTTGATTTTATACAAGTATTTCATTTCATTTTCATTTTTTATTTTTGTTGTGTCGTCTGAGAATATTTTTAGAATTCTTATTCACGAAACTTATTTTTCTGCTGTTATGGATGCTATATGATTTTTCAAATAAAATTTTCTTTAGAATATTTTATTGCTTATCTTAAGACGAGGATCTTTTGACAAATACTGCCAAATGAAAGCAACTGTTAATTGGATATAATAATGTTTAATTCGTATCGTTTTCATGAATGATCGATTGGAGTTGATAGGAGTAACTTCCAAAACAGTTATAGCTTCATCAAGTCTAAAAGAATCATATTATTATATGAACAACAATTAAAATAATTTTTTTTAAATTCATTTTCATCGCATTTCATAAAGAAACAAATTTGTTGTCTGTAAATGATAAAAAGTTATGGAATGAATTATTAAATTATCCTGTTGGAATTACAAATATTTTATATTTATATATTAAACGAGAGACCCAGCTGTGATATTTTGAATATTCGTAAATACGTATATTTTAAAAGCTTATAAAGTACTTTTTTCTCATTGGTATACACTGTTCTAATTTTAAAATTTATATACAAGGACTTGTATATTACGAAAATGCATATATGCAGTACAATTGATAAAATTATTAAAATTAGTCTGTCAGGTATAATAAATCATCAAAAAAAGGACTTTGTGCTAGATATACACTACATACTTGAATTTTATCAGCATTTCAAATAAAAAACTTTACAGAAAGTCTTATGTGCTGTTTATTCTTGATGTTAACTGCACATGTGATAAAAATTTAATTGTTCACGTTAATTTTTAATTAAACCTTTAAGATTTGGTTGTATTGCATTATTTATTTTGTTTTCAGAAGAAAAGTTTAAAGCAATATTACTTAATCGAAAGTAAAAGATAAAATGAAGAGAGAAGTAAGGAAAATCTATAGCAAGCTCCTAAATGTAGTTGAAACAGTGTAGAAGTAGGTGAATTTTATTTAAATCATGCGCAACACAGAAAATGCAGAATTTCCTTATGATCAGCTGTTTTCTTTGGTAAGAAAACATTTGGTTACATGTGATTTTGATCCATAATACATTTTAAATGCTGAAATAATTGAATGATTCTGGGGCAAAATGTCGTAATTGCATTTGTTTCTTTTACTTGTTATAACTCTAAAACTATAGAAGATAACATAAACATAATATACATCGTTGGAATTGACATCCAAAGAGCTAATTAATTATGCTATTTTTAAACCGGTTCAATCGGTTTAAACGGTTCAAAAACCGGTTCAAAGTTGAAAAACTAAGAAATTGAATAACTTTTTCAATACTTAATCAAAGGCTTTGCTTTGGAGCTCGTTTTGTAGTATTTAAAAATGCTCACAACTTGTTGGAGCTAGATTTTTGATTATCGACCTGTGACGTCATTTATGAGCTATTTATGTTGAAACTTTGACAGCTTATTTCTCAGCAACTACATATGATACAATAACGATATATATCTTAAAAAATTTCAATTTTTCTACAAATTAATAAACATTAAAAATTAGTGGGATTTGTGAATAAGTTTTGTCAAAAAATGATAAAACCTTAAACCATTAAAACCCTTTGAACCTATTTTACCTTTATTTGATATTTATCTTTCAGATACCAAAAAAATTCTTATTGCATTTAAAAGAGCTCTTAATTTTCTTTGAAATGATATATAACATGCTTGGAGTTTATCATTAAATGACGTCTTTACCGTTTAGTCTTTTATTCCACTTTCTTCTATTTTTTCACATTTTTTATCAAAATAAAAGTAAATATTGCCATTTTTTTTTTAAAAATACTAATGTTTTATTAAATGTGCATTCAAGTATTTGTTATTGAAGTTTTGCTACTTTGTAATATTTGCTACTTTTTTTTAAAAAAAATGACGTCACAGGTCGATAATCAAAAATCTAGCTCCAACAAGTTGTGAGCATTTTTAAATACTACAAAACGAGCTACAAAGCAAAGCCTTTGATTAAGTATTGAAAAAGTTATTCAATTTCTTAGTTTTTCAACTTTGAACCGGTTTTTGAACCGATTGAACCGGTTTAAAAATAGCATAATTAATTAGCTCTTTGGATGTCAATTCCAACGATGTATATTATGTCTATGTTATCTTCTATAGTTTTAGAGTTATAACAAGTAAAAGAAACAAATGCAATTACGACATTTTGCCCCAGAATCATTCAATTGAATCATGAAGAATTTAAAAGATGATCTTAAAACACCAAAGAAGAAGCTAAGAGATTACTGTCGAAACTTCAAAGTGTAGATCTTTTTAATCTCATAATCAAGTCTTGATGGTTAATAAGCAATTGCATATTATGTATGAAACAAAACAGAAAATTTCACATATTTTTTTTACCACGTTTTTTTATTAATATTTTATTGAACCTAAAGATAATATTTTTGTAGACAGCAAATTATTTTTGCATGCATGACATAGTACACTTTCAAGTATCAACTAATTACATTTAGATCTTGATGATTTTCGTAAAATCGTTTTACGTTGTAAGCATGGAAGAAAGTTTTTCCGTATTCATAAGTTGATATCATAATGGCACATGCAGGAGCTACTTTAGCTAATCGAGGTATGATTCCTGCGAAAAATCCACGAAATCCTGATGTATTATAGATATTTCTAATTTGTTGTTTTGTCGTTGACATTTGATTCCTTTTCCCAGCTATTCCATTTGATGTATATAGAAATTTCTCACCAAACTCAATCTGTTGATGTGTTTTGATGACATCAAATGGACATGTGATAATTGCAGCCATTGTTCCTGCCAACGCACCGCCAATAAATGATTGTACTAGATCAGGATGTGTAGTATTGTGGAATTTCTTGAAAGATTCATAACATGTCCAATAAATTGCTGAAAATGGAGTATCACGCATTATTGTTGGTACGAGACCTTTGAAAAGTCCACGAACTCCATGTTGTTTTAACATCTTACTAAACGCAGCTCCTACTTCACTATAACTCATTTTTTCAGACTGCATCTTTGTGCGAATTAGTTCCAATGGATTTACAACAGTCACAGCAAATATCCTTGCTGTACTTCCAGCCATCAATGGAATCCACAACGGCATTGTATATTCGTCTGGATTCTGTTTTGTTCGTGTCATGTGAATATCTTTAAGGCGTACGCGTAATTGTTCATAAGATACAAAATATAAAACTGTAGTAGGCAACGCTAGAATTAATGTTGGTGTTAAACCGCTCCATAAAGTATAAATTCCTTCATTTCGTCCAATTTTCATAAAAGCATCCTATAGTAAAATCAACGAATGATTATAAGTATTAGAACATACATATTATTTAAAACGAATTTTGGTCTTCTTCTTACTATAGTGCCATTGAATTTCTGAATATTTGTGGATGTTGTACAAGGGCATAAATGATCCATCAATCCATTACAGTACAGATAACATTTATTTGATAAAACAAGTTTATCTTGTACCTGAAGACGTGTCTTGACAACATCCAACGGTGTCATAAACAGAGACGTTATCAATGCGCCTGTCACGCTCGAACAAATTTGCTGATAGCCACTAGAAAGGAGTGAAAATTAAATTCAAGCTATTTCTTTTCATTTTATTATCAAATGCTTTAGTACTTTATGTAGATTGCATAAAGATAAAGAGAACACTATGCGATAAATTGTATAAACCCAAATCAAAACAAAACAAAATATTTTACAAATTACAATTTTCATTAATTCGATTAAAATACTCACCGAATCCTAAATCTATGGTCGTCGGCATCGAATCCATTTAATTTGTTAGTCATATCATATGGTTATTCAAAGAATCAATGAGTAAATCACATTAAATTTAAATAATTAATATGTAGTAAACAAACTTGACGAAAGTAAAAAATTAACCTGGGGACCCCCTCCTCCTTTTAAGCATTACGTTTTACGTGAACGGCTCTTAACGAAAGTATTTCTATTTAGCAAATTTTTTTTTCGAATTTTCGTTGAACGTTGTTTAGCGTTTAATATTACTGCAATTCTCAAGTAAATCTGTTCAGGACGTAAAAGTTTGTGTGTATGGGACAAAAATTAAACTATAGATTTTTTAAATTTTCGATTAAGAAACGCTGTTTTAATCACAAAACATTTGTATATTTAACATCTATTTATTTTTAATCAACATCTTTATTACTTTGCAATGCTACACAATGAGGTGAATTTATACTTTGAAGTATTTGAACTGTGTCTTTCTTTCCACTGGTTTCTGGATTTTGAAGATAAACTCCCATCACAATGCCCAAAAATAATATTAATCCTACATGATTATTAGACAAGAATTTTTTTGCACAGTCCGTTGGATCGTCAATATTCAATGTGAAGATCTAAATAATAGCAAATTGATGAAAAAATATTCAGTAGAATGTAAAATGTCTTACTTGGTGTCCTATGTGTGTTGCAATAACTGACAGTGATACATAATATGGCCATGTCAAGTCACAAACTAGTCCAGTCGTTATCAAGCTTGAATGCATTACTGCTGAAAATGCTGTTAGCCACTTTTTTGTATCTCGACCAAATCTTAAAGCGGTAGATTTAATGCCAGCAATTAAATCATCAACACGATCTTGATGAGCATAAATTGTATCATAAATAATCGTCCAACAAATACCAGCTGTATATAATGGCAAACAAGCAACCCAATTTACATCACCGTGTACAGCACAATATCCTAATAATGCACCCCAATTAAAGGTCATTCCGAGCACAAATTGTGGCCAATTTGTAACGCGTTTCATAAGTGGATAAATTATGACTAAACCTAAGGAACTTGTACCAAGTAATATAGCATTCCAATTTAATTGTAACAAAGCTAATAATCCAAGTCCTAATTGACCACCTAAAAAGAACCACGCATCTAAATTTGTCAATTCTTTTGTCACTAATGGTCGTGTGCTGGTCCTTTGGACTTTTGAATCAATATCTTTATCCCACATATCATTTATTGTACATCCAGCACTTCTCATTATTATCGCTCCAGTTCCAAAAATAGCCAACATCGTGAGATCAGGTATGCATGCTGGTGATGCACTTAAAGCTATTGACCAACCACAGGGCCAAAACAGTAGAAATGATCCTAAGAAAAGGAATTACACATTTTAACTTAAAATCTACGGATTTAAATCAATCCAGTGTTTAGTTTACGTAAGTAAGTTACACACCAATTGGCCGGTCTAATCTCATGATCCTAACATAAGGATTCTCTCTGAATTTTTGAAGAGCATTAACGACAAAGCTGTTTTTTTCTGGTGACATCTGTTTAACTTGATCAATTTTACTTGATTGATTAATGCTACAGCTTGTAAATGGCGATGTTTTGATAAAAGTATGATGAATCTTTTTTGGTATTTCAAGCGTCTTGAAACTTAACATCTTATCATTTGGAATTAGTTTAATGAACCGTAATGAACCAAGTCTAAATAACATATTAGCGATTCCTATTTCCTCGTATTTATGATGAAATTTTAATTATTTTACATTAATTCTGATCCAAACAGATTTTCGTTAAAATCACTAAAACTCCTTTAATAATTTATGTCTAATTCATTAATTGGATCTTAAAAATTACCGCTGGATCTTTAGTTATGTGCAACTAACGTCTAGAGAAGCACAAATTAAGTTATTTGTAAGACACATTTTAATACAGAAATTTTTCAGCTAAGTTTTTAAAATTAATGAATTATTAGATTCAGTTTGACTGAATGTCACAACATTGAATTTTATTTGAACTAAACATCAGTTAAAATTTTACTTTAGGAAATTATTTAACTATACTATAATTAATGTTTTTGTAGTGCAACTTTTAAATGATAAACCCTTTCTGTATTAAAATTAATGATTTTCTAATCTTCTCATGATCTGTAAGTGAACGCAAAGTAATTAGATAATCATATGCTGATCGCTGCTACAAAAATGCGCTTAAGTCCCTCGATCAATAACACGAGGACTTCTGTAATTTTTTATAAACATAAAATGCTTTATAGCTTCTAAGCATAAATCTAATAAAAGTAATGTGTTTTCTACTTTATTCATTAATCCCTTGGAGCAAAGAAAGTCACAAAACAGAGTGCTATCTTTGCAAAAAAGCAGAAAATCGACCAAAAGAAAAAAAAAAAATAATAGCCGAAAAAAATATTTGAAATCAAAATAAATTAAATTTTTGCTAATTTCTTCAGTTTTATTAGGAATCCATTAAATGATATATAATGAGTGTAAGTATAGATGTTACGTTCATATTTTGTTTTAAAGTTTTACAAGATTATTTATCATTTTATGATAGAAATTCTCGAAAAAAGAATTGGAAGAACGACGAAAAAAAGAGGAAGAAGAGGAAGTCACAAATGTTTACAAAGATTTTATAGACACATTTCAAAATTCAACGAATTCAGCATCAAAAGTATGGATTAAAGCTGGAACTTATGATGCAGGATCGAGAAAAGAGGATACTAAAGACAAAGGGAAACTTTACAAGCCAACGCCAAAAGGAAGTTCCAGTGATGATAAACATGGAAGCTCCTCACATGCAGATTACTCTAGGATGTTATCAGATGATTCAAAAAAGGATTTAACACCGCAAGGAAAGAAGAAGGCACAAGAAAAGAAAAAATCCAACTTGGAATTATTTAAAGAAGAATTAAAACAAATGCAAGAAGAGCGCGAAGAAAGGCATAAATATAAACAAGCAGCAAAACATTTAATGCAAACACATATTCATAGTGTTTTAGAACATCCAGAGCCAGTTTATCGAGAAGTGCAGGAATCGCAAGGATCTTTTGATACTGGAGATCCGAACACAACAAATTTATATCTAGGAAATTTAAATCCAAAAATTACTGAACAGCAATTAATGGAGATATTTGGAAAGTATGGTCCCCTTGCGAGTGTTAAAATTATGTGGCCACGATCTGACGAGGAAAAAGCTCGTGGTAGAAATTGTGGATTTGTTGCATATATGGCTAGGAAGGATGCTGAACGAGCATTAAGGAGACTTGCTGGAAAGGATATAATGGGATATGAAATGAAACTCGGATGGGGTAAAGCAGTGCCAATTATGATGCATCCAATTTATATCCCTCCAAATTTACAGGAATATGCAATGCCGCCACCTAAATCAGGTTTACCTTTTAATGCACAACCTTTATGCGACATTTCAAACTTAAATATTGATGAGCTGGACCTTAAAGCTTACTTAAAGGATGAAGATCAGAAGAATAAAATTGATGAAGTTCTTTCAAAGTCTATCGTAAAAGTCATAATTCCAACGGATCGACCATTATTAATGCTCATTCATCGTATGATTGAATTTGTAATAAGAGAAGGTCCACTTTTTGAGGCACTCATTATGGCAAGAGAAGTCAATAATCCATTATTCAAATTCCTCTACGAGAATGATAGTTCAGCACATATTTATTATCGGTGGAGATTATTTTCACTACTTCAAGGCGACACACCAAGCGAATGGTGTGAAAAGGAATTTAGAATGTTTAAAAATGGATCAGTGTGGAAGCCACCAAAGCTCAATTTTTTTAGTCAAGGTATGCCTGAAGAACTCATATCTGATGACGAAATGGAACCATGCAAAGGGCAGTTATCAGTGGCTCAACGAAATCGTCTTGAGGACTTAATAAGGCATTTAACACCAGAAAAAAGTAAAATTGCTGATGCCATGATTTTTTGTATTGAACATGCTGATGCTGCTGATGAGATTTGTGACTGCATCTGTGAATCACTTACCAATCACGAAACTGCCATTCATAAGAAAATTGCAAGGATTTACTTAGTATCGGATATTCTACACAATTGTACTGTCAAAGTTCAAAATGCCAGCTTCTTCCGAAAATCGTAAGTTATTGATCTTTGCTGTTTAAAATATCTGTTGAATCTTTTGATATTTCAGAATGGAGAGAAATTTAATCGACATGTTCAGAGGTCTTCATGAGAGTTACAAACTACTTGAAAGTCGACTCAAAGCTGAAGGCTACAAAGTAAGAATAATGAAAATATTTAGAACATGGGAAGAATGGACAGTGTACAGTCGAGATTTCCTTCTTAAATTACAAAATACATTTTTGGGAGTTCAAATTCCTGAAGATAATCAAGATGGGCAGCCAGCCTCTGATCACGAAGATGATATTGATGGTGTTCCAGTTCCATTAGACGGAGCTGCATTGCTTAAAGGAGCTTTAATGCGTGGAATTCCAACTCCGGAACATACTGATGAAGATGATATCGATGGAATCCCACGTAAGTTGACAATTAATAATATCTTTAAACTTATTAATGACTTTGAATATTTCAAGTGGACGAGAATATTGATGGAATTCCATTAGATACAAGTGGGAGTGTAAATGAACCATCATCATCTGGTTTTGTTAAATCAAAATGGGAAGAATTAGACCCTGAACAAGTAGCACATCAAGCAATAACGACTTCAAAATGGGAATTTGAACCACCTCCACCAGAGCCACCAAAAATATCCGCAATTTGTAATTATGACGAAAGTGAGAGCAGTGAAAGTGACTCAGATGATAAAAGAAAACGATTGCGTGAAATAGAAATTAAAATTGTTGAATATCAAGATGAGCTAGAATCTGGCAGAAGGCCAAAAAAATCAGGATTTAGTTTAAGCGAACAAGTTGAACATTATCGAAGGAAATTGCTTAAAAAAGCTGAGAAACATGATTCTGATTCTCAATCTGATCGTTATATTTCCTCATCGTCTTCGAAACGAGAAAGGAGCAGGCGAAGTTCCTCATCTGGCGAGAAGAAAGTGAAAAGATATAGAAGATCACAATCTAATGATAAATATCATCAAGCAAAACGTTCACGATCGAAGTCTTATTCACCGATTGTGGTGTCAAAATCAAGGTAATTGCATAGCATAGCTTATTCGATGGATAATTTAAATTTGAATGTAATTTACAGGCATAGTAAGAGAAGACGTTCTAAAAGCTTATCAATTTCACCGCCAAGATCATCAAGGAGAAGATCGCCGTCACCAAGAAGGTCTCACAAATCAAAGCATAAACACTAGGAATCTGCCTGAAATAAATTTAAATTTTCAAAGATGTATCTTTTAATAAATGCAACTTTTAATCAATAAATATCTTTTAAATCCATTTGCAATTCCGTCATTCTCAGAAATATTTTTTAAAGAAAAGTGACAGATTGATTATCCATAATATATACACAAAATCGTGATAAACACATTTAGACTACCATCGACAGATATAAATGCTTCAAAAAAATTTTAAAAACCTTTTCCTGTAAAAAAAAAATTAAAAAGAATTTAAAAAAATTAAATTGGAAAAGGCTTTATTTAATGCAAAATCTGTAAATCTGTCCTTGCATGGCCATTCTTATTTTTGTTCTTTTTACAAATATTTAATCTGGTTTCGTTTCTACTTAAAATACCACTTCAATAAGAATCAATGGATTTCCAGGAATTTCTGTTGTTCTTTTCTGTCTGACCCCCCCCCCCCCCCCCCCCCTGGACGTTATAAGTGAACGGCCTCTATCACTGGAAAAAATATTAATTGAAAAATTGTCAACCATTTTATTCTGCCATATGTTGTCATTAATAATCCTATTTCCTACTTTAAATTGTTTTGTTGCTAACAAGAGAGGAAACGAGCACGGTTGATATAATTTTTAAAGACCTAATGTCGTTTTGCAGTCTCGATTGCTGTGATCAACGTTAGAAACAATTAATTAATAACCCAGGTAAAAGTAAAAGCTTAAACCTCTAATTTCATTAAACACACAAAATTAACCATTTTAATAAAAAAATTTAAATTCTATTCGAATTTGTTGACTGAAAACATCATACCAAAGAGAATAAAATTCAGATATTAAATGTCGATTATCAATTTTGATCACGATTTTCCTACTCAATCAGAATAACATTCTCAGTTTTCGGCAATTTTGGTTTCACATTGAGAGAAATACAATAATTCTTTAACTGCTTACAATCATTCATTCCAAATTCATCATAGGTGTCATAAAAGTCAATTTAATCTTTCATCGAGCGGACAAAAACAGTCTTTCGATATCATTTAACGGTTCAATATGTTGAACATTTATCATCTAGTGGCGGCATACATTTATTAGAAAATTATGCTACATAAATCAAAGAAAAAGTTTGAATGGCCATAAATATCAGATACTGACTTTTACTTTTATACCGACTCTTCTATGAAGGTATAAGGTAAGGATATAACAACTTTATATGGGAAATCAACTAATTGAAGTTGCATACATAGTTTGAATGTAAAAAGTTACCATTAATATATTCTCAACTAAAGTGCTTACAAATGGGACTAATCAGGCATAGGAAATATTTTTTTGAAATACTTGTCTGATTAATTTTTGAAATTAATCTTTCTAGTTGTTTATTTAACGGGAAAATTCAAATTTGAGAAAAAATCTGGCAAAATCTTACAAAACTTCAGTTTAACTTGCTTGCTTTCAGAAAGCGTATTTTATAATTTTCTCAAGAATGCCAGTTTCTTATTTTTATCAACATAAAACTTTTCATGATCACGCAATTCCATGTCCTCATTGTCAAAGCCATGAAGCAAAAAATTATGTTTAAATATTTTGTGAATGAACTTTGTCGTAATGCTTTGACACTCATGAAATCCACTGGAAGATTAATATAAAGCTAAATACATTTTTTGCATGAGTAGAAAGAGAGCACTTGGCTTTGACTTGAACTTTACGCTCTCTCGCTCTTTCTCTCTACGTTCTTGCTTTCATATGCAATGTCCTTTTGTATTCATTTTGAGCTTACTGAATAATGCATGGAAAATGGAATGAGGTTTCAGGAATAAACGAGAGACATATACACAGACAGAATAATCCAAAAGGGACATCCATCTCTTGTTGTCCATCAAATTATTTGAAAATCAAACTATTGCTGTCAATGCTTTATAAAATGTAGAGAGGAAAAGCAGTTCTGATGCTTTTCATAAGTGACTGTGTTGTTCGTGAAAATCACTCACTTGTTAAGATTGTATGATGATATTCTAATATATTAGTTTAAATCGTGAATGAGCCGGAAAGACAAGTGAAAAAGCTATGAGGTGTAAATGTTTCTGATTTCTGAATTTTCTGAATTTCTGAATTAGTTCTTCTGAAACTAGTGATTCCATGATGAGCACCATTCTCATATTTTTATTATTATTATTATTATGGCTTATAATGTAGGAAATGACAAATTGTTGAATAATTAAGTTATATATATATATATATATATATTGATCGTAGTAATCTGATTATTATTGTAAATATTGTTATCGTGAAAAGAAGTTTATTTAAAGTTAAAAATTCCATTTTGCTATTCTGCAAGGATTAAAATAAAGAATACATTATTTTAATTATCCAAGAGGTTATTGGCTTTGTCACAATGAAGTTTGAAGAAGAAGAATCTGCAATGTGCGAGCGATTGAACTGCAAGAATTATCGTGTCTGGGCACTTCGAATGAAGATGATTTTGATCAAGGAAGATCTATGGGATATCATCGTTCCGAGAAGTTCAAAGCTAGAGGATGCAGTTAGAAGCTTGAAAGCATTGGCACATATTGTTTTGATAGTTGATAATGATCAACTGGTACATGTTTCGGATGCGAAAGGAGGAATGGAAGCATGGGATTCATTGAAGAATTTTTATCACAACGATTCAGCTGGACATAAGATGAGACTTTATAAGCAACTGTTCAAGACTGAATTATCACTGGGTGGTGAAATGCAGAAACATTTGCAAAAATTGTTTGTAATTTTGCAAAACATCAAGGAATGTGGTGATCATCTTGAAGAAACCATGATTGTGAGTGCTATTTTAACAAGTCTGCATGCTGAATATGATAATTTGGTGACTGGATTAGAATCATGGAAGGAGAAGGATCTAACTGTTCAAAATGTCAAGCTGAAACTCATCGATGAATGCGAAAGGCGGTATGAAAATGTAAGAAAAGGATCTGATGTGTTTTGTATCAATAAACCTGAAATTGATCCAAAGAAGCACATCAAGTGCCATCAGTGCAAACGAGAAGGATATATCAAGCGAAATTGTCCAATGTTGAAAAATGAAACCGTCAAAATGGCAAATTTCAGTGGAGGGTGCAGAAATTGTTACGATCCTAAAGACTCTCAGTGGTGTATTGACTCTGATGCTTCGTCTCACATGACCTACAGTAAGTCGTTTTTCCTTAGTTTTGATGAAAGTTTTAGGGGAACAGTTACTGTTGCTAATGGCGAGAAGGTTGAGTACATAGGACGAGGGGATGTTCGTATGAATGTATTTGTAGGAAACAAAAGCTTTAGTGTAGATCTGACCGTCGTACTTCTGGTGCCATGCATTGACAGTAATCTGATCTTTGTCTCAAAGCTCTGTAATAAAGGCTATAATACTATTTTTGATTCAACTGGCTGTTACCTTAAAGTAGAAGGTGTGGAACAATTGCAGATTTTGAGAAATCAGGCGATATGTATATTGTAAGAGCTGAAGTTGAAACATCATGCTTGGTTAATGACAGAGTGGATAGATGCTGTGTACATGAACAGCATCAAAAGTTAGCTCACAGAAATTTGCATGATATACTAGCGATGAAAGATAAAGGTTTGAAAATTGCCGATTGTGATTGCACAAATGCAATGAATCATGCATTTTAGAGAAAATTTCTAGAAATCCATTTCCAAAGAAGGCAACACCTATTGAAAATACACTTGACTGTATTTGATCCGAAGGCTGAAAAGCTGGCATTCGTGGGATATGACGGATGGTCGAAAGCATATCGACTTGCAAATGTGAAACAACGGAAGATAGTTGTGTCACATGATGTTGTCTCTCTAAAAGAAAAGTTCATGAAGATAAGTCAGAATTCATCTCATGAAATGAAGAGAACTAGCTGTGATTTGGTGCCGTTCCCGTTTTCGTCTGGTTCTACAATTGATGTTCAAACATTCAATGATTCTGCATTGTTTTATGATGCTGAAGACTTTCAAGATGAAAATGAGGTAGAAGAGCATGAGGAGAAAGGAAGAAATGATGAAATCAGAGTATCAATTAGAAGAAATAAAGGAAAAAAACCAGAACATCTTGGTGATTTTGTTACTTATTCATCAAGAGTTGATTTTGAGCCTAAGACACTCAAACAGGCTATGAATTGTGTTGATGCTAATAAGTGGAAAAAAGCTAGGGAAGATCTTGTGAAATTGCCAAAGAATAAACGTGCAATAGGTTGTAAATGGGTTTACAAGCTTAAGCGAGATGATAATGGCCAGGTGTGTTCACAAGATGCCAGATTTCTCCAATTTTAAAGAATTTGGAGTTAGGGCAAATGTCCCAAACCCGTTTGCAACAGTAGCTCGATCAGCAACATTTAGGATCCTTATGTCGATAGCTGGTGTTAATAATTATCATGTGAAGCAGTTATTAAGACTGCATTTTTGAATGGTGATATCGAGGAGGAGATATATATGAAGCAACCACCTGGATTTGAGAAGGGAAATGATGCTTGCAAGTTAACAAAAAGCCTTTATGGTTTGAAACAAGCAGCAAGAGCATGGAATTTTAAATTTATCATGAAGCAGTGATTAGTTTTGGATTTAAGCAAAGCGAAGTTGATAAATGTCTGTATAGTATGAAGAAAGGAAATGATATTTGCTATATGATTGTTCATGTCGATGACATTCTAGTTGCTTCAAATAATGAAAAATTGATAAAAAGTTTTAAGAATCATATAGGAAGACAGTTCGAAGTAAAATATATGGGAAGTGTAAAGCATTTTTTGGGAATTGATGTGAAACGTGATGAAGATGGAAATTTTCACATAAGTCAGAAACAATATATTGAAAAGATTGTGGAAGAAGCTGGACTGAATGATGGAAAATATTCAAAATATCCTTTGATGACTGGCTATTTTAGGCATCATGATGAGAATTATTTAGAATCAAATAATGAGTATAGAAAACTCATTGGTAAACTGTTGTATATTAGCACAAATACAAGACCTGATGTAGCTGCATCTGTTGGAATATTGAGTCAAAAGATTTCAAAACCAACAAAGACTGATTTGATAGAAGCGAGGAGAATTTTTCGCTATTTGAATGGTACCAA